ACTGGGTTATTCATCCTATAAGCAAGCGAGCATACCATATGCCAGGACATAATTAGCCATCATTAGAAATAAAGACCTTTTTCCCTAGAGCAGGAAGAAAGAGGTTTGGTTGTGGATCAGTTTCATGGTATCATTCTGAGACAACTTTTTTTTCTTCATTCTGAGGCACTGTTTGTGCATCAGGTAAGCACTGTCAAAAAAATTACGCCAGCTTCTCTGACCAAAAGCTTACAGCTTTATTATATGGTCAGTCAGCCACAGGCTAGCTACAGAGGAAGACTTTACAAAGCTACAGAAGTGACTGTACATTGGGCTAGTATTTGGCAGAGCTGTAAGAAAAAAAAAAAAAAAAAAAAGAAAAAAGAAAAAAAAACACACCAAAAAAACCCCAACCCAAATTTATTCGGCAAGCATGCACAGACGTATTTAATTCCCACAAACACCACTCTGCTGGCTTGTCTTCACAGCTGCACACACACATGCTACAGTAAGTCATCTCTACTGTAGTGCTGAAACCCTTCCATTATGATTTTTGCTTTGAAGCAGAGCTATTTGAGAGCAAATCCTGCTCCCAAGTTACCTGCAGCTATTTATTTTTCCTGGTAGGAAGCTGGAATACCCTTGCTTTCAAAGCCCTTGGAAATCTATCAGCTTCCTACTCTACAATATGCTAAAGGTCAGTCCCAGAGAAAAAGTGTCACATTTCACTGCAAAAGAAGCAGACTGATAAGTAAACAGCGTATTTCTTAATGAGAAAAAAAAAACAAACAAACAAACCAACCCCTAACTATTTTTCATTTCTCCAGGGTGACACAGAGCCCCTGAGCAACATTGCAGACCTTCAGTCCGCATTTACAAATTCAAACAATCAAGCTGATGCTAGTTATGCCAATGACCAAGATGTAATCGTCTGCAACTGCAGGAAACTGGACCAGGACATCCCTCAGGTCTTATTAAAAACAGTCCGGTAAAAAAAAAAAAGTCAGTGGGAACAACAGTGACGTACATGGGATTGCTTAAACCTGAAGGACACAAAAAGCAGGGGCATGCGTCTCAAACTTTACTGGGCTCCTTTATGCCACTACATTCTGCTGCTCCCCTAGTTTCTCTCCCAGTTTCATCACCTCATTTTTTCAATAACACGACTGAGGTAAAGACAGAAAACCTAGAGGATTATTACGATAGCAGTGGATGAAAAATGACAAAACCCTTGTGTCGTGGCAACAGAACAGCAGGAATGAGGCTGTTTCGCTCTCATCTGCCCATGGTTCACTGAGACATTTCCGAATCATTAGCAAGTCTTTAAGCACACCCCCAACTCAGTTTTTCCGCTGCTCCAACCCTGCCTTTCTCATGGGATAGACAGCACAAAACAATTGCTTCAGTCTGCTGAATTGTTAAGTTAAAAGATCAGCAGGAAAAAAAAAAAAAATCCATAAGGCATCAGCAATTCCTAGCTGTATGTGCTCATGCAGGTCCCTCATCAATCAGAGAGACATAATCAGAGCAGACTCCGTTAACTGGTTGCATCTGTTCTGCAGATGCCGAGCAGGAGCACAGACTGCAGGTCACCACAGAAGTAGAGGAGCAGAATCTCTGCAGTTTCCCAAGAATGAGGCAGGTTAGGACTCTCATCTGTCATGGATAATCTTATTTTCAGTCATGCTTGGCACCTGCAGTACCAACGAATGCTGATGAGAGTAATGGATGCACCTCTGAAGAACAGAGGGGGTGCAGAGAAAAAAAGAATCCCTTTCTCTGTACCAAGTACAAGCTATAGGATAACGTTCTCTTCTACTGATTCACTCCCAGACACTGCTCTGTTCATGATTCATTAGGTAAGATTGAACTGCAAGTATCTTACTACTTTAGGCCCCAGATGTTGGAACTACCACACACAATTGTAGATTCATGTCAGCAGCACAAAATGCCTCTTCCAGTCTGCTCTTAACGTGTATTCTCTGCTGCACAAGATTTAGGATAGGGGCGGATAGAATTAACAGTTTCTAACCTATCGTGCCTCTCTGGCTGCCTGCAATGACTTGCTGGTCATCCTCTGCGTTCCGTACTGTACCTGCACTACCACAACCCTTCGGATCCAGTTGTTACAAACTGCCTTGCCTTTTCCTTCAAAGGGTGCATGATGGAAACACAGCTGGTCCCTGGCCAGACTTGCTGAGGGAAGGACAATCTACTACCACCACTTTAAAGCATTTTTCCACAGTATGCGCCGTGAACTTTTCAGTTAAAATGCAACAGATCACAGGACAGTTCAGGTTAGAAGGAGTCTTGGGAGGTCACCTCGTTCAACCTCAAGCTCAAAGCAGGGTCAGCTCCAGAGTCAGCCCGGGTTACAAGGACCACTCACGTGTTTGCATAAGGAGTAAAGGACAGCATGCTTCAAAGAGCTCTGCTGAACGCACCTAGTCTTGGTTTGACAAGTAGGTTACTGGTGTAAGAGTAAGTTATTTCTGGAGGTGTCACTGATGTCCACAAATGATTTGTGTTCATTTACTGAGGCTCTAAAACAAACAGCTTCCCTGCAACACATCAGAGACCTTTACATTATCATCCATACCCAGTGATTTTAAAAGTGCTGGTTTTCAGCCTTCACGAGCAAATCCAGAGCAAGTAAGAGAAATGGATTAGATCACGTTTTCAAGGGCTCAGAAGCACTTATTCCATCAAAACCTGTCAAATATGCAAAAAAAAAAAAAAGTTATGCTTGAAGAAAGTTTCTCGAGTGTATTGACAAGAGAAAAACTGTGATGGTGGCAAGTTAGATTAAAGAGCGGGGTGTTGTGTTTGCTGTGACACAACTGATACATCTGCACCAATACACTAGCGACTAGCTGAAGGGAAAACAACGTAGTCCAAAGAAAAAGAGATGGGGAAACAAGAAGAGGCATTCTTGACAACAGAATCCAGGTGAAGTCTCCTTGACTCCCAAAGAGATCTGATGACATGGCACTACTCAGTGCAAGACAGTCTACTCTGCAAGGGGAGAAGAAAAGATTGAAAGACATTGATTTGGCTTATTTTTCCTCAAACTCTTTCTGATATACCTCTGTGAGCTTCACCAGCTTGTGTTCATGCAGAACACGGCACTCATGCATGGAATTTTCTTCAATCCAGACCTGTGCCATACTCCAATCACGCCTGAGCGATGCTTTTGTTGGGAGAAAAGGACTCCCTCTCTGGTAAAGATTTCATGCCCTCTCTCCCAAGAATTATGTCAACAAACCCACACTGTAAAGCAACCTTCCCCCTCCATCCCAGGTCATTTATTAACACAGTTCAAGATCTGCCAGTCTTTTCAGCCCACAGCAGCGTGAAAAGTTACGTCAGCTTCCACCTGGCAAACACGCGTGCTTTCATCAGAGGCCAGAGAGGGCTCGAGAAGAGGCCCTGCAGCACTTGGACAACTCCACAGGTCAAGAGCCCCCAGTGCCGTGCATTGGGCAACACCTGGCACCGCTCTGGCGTGATGCAAGCGGCTGCACTTGCGCAGGCAGCGAGCGCGTTGAATGCCCAGCTCTGGAGGAGGCTCCCTGCACACACAGACCCTTGGAGAGCCAGGGAGGGGAACGGGCCGCAAACCGAGTTAAACCTTGCTAACGGAGAGCGGCAGACAGGCTCCAAACGCCCTGGTAAGCACCTAGTGCCACAAGTGGGGTACTCGGAATCCTGTCTTTAAAGGGCATCTTATTCCGCAGCCCTGGGGAAGATCCTTAACAAATTTACTCTTTAAATCCTTGCCCACGGCACTTGCAGAGTGGACAGTAGCAGTGGCTGGGCAGGATTCCCAGCTGTGGCTGTCCTTTGTACCGGGTCCCACTTCAAGCAGAGCACTGCTAGCTGGAGGATGGAGAGCAGGTTGTCTGCACGTTCATACTGAAGTCTCGCATGCAGAAAACCCTACAGGGTTCGAATAACAGCGTTAGACAGTCGAGCTGGCATCCTGAGCTCCAAACCCAATTAAGGAAACAAACACAGATACCTACAAATAATATATTCACGATGCACATAAGCCTTTAGATGCTATAGCAGACAACAAACGCAGTTTGACAGAGAGAAAAGAGAAGTATGCACAAAAGGAAAAGGCTTTCTAAAGCAGCAAGACAAACAGCAGGTGTTTGCAGGTGGCAAACAAGAGAGCTGGAAACCAGCCATTTCACAGCTCCTGGAGCTGCGGGATGCGTTCACAGGAAGGAAGAGAGACACAGGCTGTTCACCCCCCCGCTAGTACGGGAGCAAGCACGGAGCGCGACCCCAGCGCGGGCGCTGCCGCCTCCACAAAGGGATTGCCATTCGGGAGAAGGGCTACGCGCCCCGTTGGCCGAGGGCTTCCCGGGTGAGGGACGAGGGGAACGAACGTGCAAAGACGGAGCCTGGATCTACTGCTGGTACAGACAAGGGCCCTTTCTCCCAGCCCCTCGTTAAATATTTGTGCCGTGCCCATCGCAAACAGACGGTGCCTCAGACCGGCCCCGGGCAACCGGGACCTCGCCCAGCACGGACACAGCCGCCTTTCATCCTCCAGCCGATGAGGCTGCGAGGCGGCCTGCCCCCGCCCCGAGGTCAGAGCCGGCGGGGCGCGGAGGGGGCGCGGGGCCCCGGCCCTCCCCTGCGCCCGGCTGCCAACCCGGGCCGGACCGCGGCGCTTCCCCCGGGGCCCGCCCGCCCTACGGCCGCCGGGAGCCGGCCGCTGCTCCCCCCGTTCCCCGGACACCCACCTCGCACCGAGGGCGGGAGAGGCGCTGCTCGCGGGATCGCGGCCGCCCCCCGGGACTCACCTGGGCCCCGCTCGGCCACCGCCCCGCTCCCCGCTCCCCGCCCGCCGCCGCCTTTTGTTCGCTGCGGCGCGGCGCGGCCTCCCCGGCCCATCGGGCTACAGGCGCCGCCGCCGCCCATTGGCCGCCGCCGCCGTGACGTGCGCCTTGCCTGAGCGGCACCCGCGCGCCCATTGGCCGCCGGCGGTGGGGCGCGGCCGCGCGGGCTTGTGGGAGCTGTAGTTCCGCCCGCCCCCCCCTTCGGAGCTCCGCGGGGCCGGCACCGGGCCCGCCACCCGGCTCGGGGCCCCGCAGCTCCCCCGCCTGCACTCGCTCCTGCTGCCGCCGTGACGGGCCCCGGCAGCGGAGCGGACACGAGCATCCCTCCCCCGGCGCCGGGGCTGGCTCAGAAACCTCTCGCGGGGGTGTTGTAGCCGCAGGGGCGGGAGGTGCCCCGGGGCTGCCCACGGTGGGGAGCGGAGAATCACCGGCACACATCACCGCTGGCACCATCCCCGGGAACGCGCCAACAGGTGCCTCCGACCCGCGCAGGGCAGCGGAACATGCACGGACTGGAGACACCACAGGCTGGGGACAGAGGCGCTTCCGAGGTGCGCGAGGCCTCGGGGGGGTGCAGCCGTCCTGCCTCCCTGCTCCCGCCTGCCCTGATTTCCAAGCAGCCTCTAGCAGCAGGCATCACGGCTCTTCCACTTGCCAGAAATAATCATCACACGTCCGTTTTTTCCCTGGTATTTCCAACCTGTGACTAAAGCACGCATCAGCGATGCTGAAGGGCAGTACCCCGGGGTGGACTCTGATGAGAGCAGACAGCCTTGCTCCAGAGGGGAGGGCTCTGTGGCCCATACGACATTGTCACCAGGCTGGAACACAGGCCTGTGACAGACACCACACGGAGCAGGACCAGAGGACCGAGACATGATGCTCCTGCCCATCTTGTCAAGGAGAGTTTATCAGAGCCACTGGGGAAAGTCTCCAGGGAGAAGTTACCAAAAGCTTAAACTATCTGAAATTCTCTGCCTGACTCCCTGGGGACAGGGGTGTGTCACGCTGCCTCCCACACCAGGGCTCAACTGGTGTTTGTCTCACCGCCCATGCGTGAGGCACTCTGCCTCCCTCCCACGCTGCGCAGCTGCGCCAGCCCCGGCCCAGGAGCCGCGCAGCGACGATGGACCCCGTCATCCCGGAGCTGCATCCAGAGCCCAGCAGCAGCACCGACTTTCCCTGTGGTGGAGTTAAACCTTACAGGCTTGGAGCAGGAGTCTTTCCAAGGAGGACAGACACGTCACACCCACTGAGTCACTTGGCAGGAACAAATTGCTTCAAACACTATTCTTGGCAGGGTCTTACCCAAGGCCAAAATAAAGTCAAGACTAACGTCGCTGATAGGAGGAGAGAACCAGCAGCATCTCTCATTGTTTGTTTGTCCAGGCTTGGACACTACAGTGATGAAACCAGTACCACAGGCTACCGGCAAATACCAAAAATCATGGAATATATTTTTTGCAGAGGGAGGCGGTGGGCTGCTGCAGCAGAACCCCCGTGTCAGGCACGGCAGAGGAACCTGCTCAGCCGGCCGGTCAGCACTAACCCAGGCATTCGCACCATGGCTCTGGCAAAGCCATTTTACCAAGCGCCTTGTGCTCCCACACCCCCTCTTTTTTTCCTGCTCGTGCCTCCCGCGCAGGGTTGTGGAAACGCGGGTGTAAGAACAAACCCCCGTGGGGCGCCGGGCAGGCCGGGTCACGGCAGGTGAAGGGCGAGAGACGGCGAGCGCTTCGCCCAGGGCCTGCACGCTTTTTGACAGAAAACCCGCGTTTCCTTCCTCTCCGAGCAGCGCGGCCCCTCCCCACGTACCTATCGCCACCCACGCGTGCCCTACTTACACCGCACCTCTGACCACCCGCCCCACGCTGCCTTCCCCCGCACCGCCGTGAGCGGCACGGCAGGGCCTCCCCAGCGGCGTGGGGCACCCGGCCCGCGCCCCACGGGACCCCACGGCCCCCGCAAGCAGCGCGCTCGGCCCGGGGACACCCCCCCCCCCTCCCGCCGGCGCGGGAAAACCCCGCGGGCGCGCCACCGCGACGTCACCGCCTGGGCGGGGCTTGGCGCCGCGCCGGAAGTGGGGCCGTTGCCCGGGCAGCGGTTGCCTGGAGACGGCGGCGGCGGCGATGGCGGCGGCCACGGCGCCGGCCGGCACCTTCCCCAGCTTCATGAGCGAGGGGACGCTGCTGTCCCGGCGGGGCGAGCACGGCAAGGCCCTGGCCTGCTTCAACAACGTGAGGGTGCCGGGGCGGGGGGGGGGCCGGGGGGGGCCCGGGGGCGGCGGGACGCGCGTGGCGGTGGCACTCGGGTCCCGTAGGGGCGGGGGGAAGTGTCCCCAGGGTCACAGCGCGAAGGGCCGTGGCACAGCGTGGGGCGGTGGCTGTTTGGGGGGGGGGGGGGCTCCGGGGGGTCACAGCACCTACAGCGTGGAAAGAGGGGGTAGCTGCAGCACAGGGAACCTGGGAACAGCAAGAGTGGGTTGTTTTTTTTTTTTCAGTAAAACCACTGGTTTTATCCTCACCCATCAACAAGAGCCGTGCTGGCACAGAGCAGGTCGCATCCAGCATAGGTGCTTGTGCACATTCGTGCTGCTGAGCCAGCACCGGTGACATCGCCATGTCTGCTGCGTTCCAGGCGCTGAAGCTGAGAGCAGGAGACAAGCACTGTTTAGTTGCCCGCTCCAAATGTTACCTGAAACTTGGGGACACAGAAAATTCCCTGAAAGATGCTGAAGCTTCTCTCCAAAATGACAAAACGTTCTCCAAGGTAAATAGCATGAAGTGACAAGAGTCTGGGTGGCCACGGACTCGTCTTTTATCTGTGAAACTCTGAAGGGGCTGGGAGACAGTGTTGTGTAGAAACAGGTAACTCCAAGCACACCCTTGACAGTTTTATTGCTTCCAGAGAAGTGGAGGTGCTTAGTCAGCAGTTGAGAAATAGTTTCAGGATTGGATTTTACTGTATGCAGATTGCAATAGCATAGGGCTCTCACTTCTGCCTAGTGGGGAATTATCTGTGATCTCTGAAGCTTTTTTTCTTCTCTTTCTTATTTACTTTTTTTTTTTTTTCCAAATGTCATTTTAGGGCCTTTACCAAAAAGCTGAGACATTATATATCATGGGTGATTTTGAATTTGCATTAGTATTTTATCATCGAGGCTACAGACTACGTCCAGAACTACAGAAGTTCAAGCTGGGTATCGAGAAATCCCAGGAGGCAATTGTCAACTGCATTGGAAGTAAGATGTTTCATTTTATGGCCCCTACAAGCATGGCCAGAAGCTGTTCAGTGGACAGCTGATGGCAAATTAGCTCAGGGGGTGACCCAAAGACCCTGCTACAACAGTCTCTTTGCTTCTGGATTTGTGTGCTCAGTGGCCACTCTCAGGTGAAACCAGGGAGCATCAAACAGAGCACAGCCAGCCCTGTTCATTTTTCTTCTTTCTTTTGTCCAAGTACCTTTTCATACACAGTGTCTAATAACTTCATTAGGTAAGTAAATTATGACACTAACTTAAATTTCCGAAGTCACCATGAAAGTGTTCTAGGTAGTACAGAACCAAGCAGCTCATCTACTTATGGCCTGACTGATTACAGAATCCATTTTGAAATCTTTATCCTAATATTCAAAGTTCGGAATGAAATTTGCCGTGCTGCCTGAAACCGCCCTTCCTGAGATCCTGACTCTCCTCCAGTTTATGTTGCATAAGACCAGTGAAACTGTTGACTGTTGCGATGGAGCACTGCTTTCATCATTCCTGGCGCAGATCATAGACCGAGCCCTGCAGGAGGCAGGAAAGGCCAAGGACCCGGTGGTGTCTGGAACAAACCGAAAACTCATCCCTCGCCCCTTAGTTTTTCTGTTTGCAACGCTGTCTTACGCCACGCACGGGCCGTGCAGCCGCCCTCGGGCACAGGCGCTGCTCCGCTGGGGCTGCACCCCGGCCCGTGCGGGGGAACCCGCGCTGGGCTGCTGGAGATCCCGCCCGGGGAGCCGCAGGCTGCTCGGGAGGATCCCGCTCCCCGGCCGGTCGCACCCTGCCGCACGCCCGCCCCGAGGTGGTTAAGGGCCTTACGCTCCCTGAAATCGGTTTCAGAGTTTCAGTTCACCTCCAGTGGCACAGATTGTCTCCATGTCCCAGCTGTGTAAAAGCCTGAAGCTCTTTGATATGTGATATTTATTTAAAAAAACAGGGAAAGTTTCCAATCTAGCTTGCCTTCCTCCGTTACTGCTGCTTTCTTAGCTTAATACACATGCCTAGATATCTTTGTAACTCTCAGTTGAAATGATTGCCGTGCCTGATATACTGAGCTAAGAGCTTGAAATGCCTTCAAGCATCGGGGCTGTAGGGAAATGAACGGATTGAAAACCAAGAAGACATTTTTTTAATTGAGCGATACCTCCTAGATGCAGGGGAAAAGCAGCAGGGAAACATGTTAGTGTTTGATCTAAAAGTTTAAATAGCTGGGAAATGCACACCCATGAACATTAACAGGGCACGTCCTCCAGAGTGCTGTACTGAATCTGCTTTGCTTGGCAGATTCAGAAACACCCACCTTCCGTGGTACGCGTGTACTCGCATCGCTGATCTTGGCCCAGTCGCCTTGCTGAAGGAAATCCTTCTACAACAGCATGTGAAGCTCTTTCCTTCCTTCTGACCAGGCCAAAACAAAGAGCTGGTTTTCACTCTTACCTCCAATGCCAGAGTGCAATCTGAATAGCAGAACTGGATGTCAGAGTGAAAATGAAATGGGAGTTTTGTCCTAATGTCAGTGCACAAAAGCCTTAAAATAGTTTTCTGGATTGCCGGAGATCCCTGTGCCTATGAGCCTGCCTTCCATTTTAAGCTTCAGCTGTGACCCCTCAGGAGAACCTGCGTCCTTTTTCTTCCTCTGTTTCCATGCAGGATGTGTCACATCTCGGTAGGAAAATTGCACTGTGATGAGGGCCCCCTGGTGCCATGTGAAAACAGTGATGATAAAATCCCGAGAGGAGCTGCATCTATGAGCTGTATTCCCTGCTTAGGGAACACACCTACAGCCACATATTTCATTTCAAGCCTTACTTCACATAGGACATTATCGGCTTGGCACATTTATGGTCATTTTAATTTCTAAAGCCTCTGCACTGCTGTTCTTGAACACTAACAAGTATTTTCTCTCTATTTGCAGGTCCATCCTCAGTTAAACTGGAGAATAAAGGGGATTTGTGCTTTATAAGCAGGCAAGCAGAGGTACAGTCTGAAGAGCTCTTGCTTTAGCAGCTAACTAGAGTTATTAGAATGCTAATACCTTCTGAAATAGGCATTAGAGGATTAATAGTTCCTGTAGCAACATGGATGTGGACACGGCTGGTCTCACGAAGTGCCTTCTGAGCATGGGAAACACACTGATCCGTGTATTTATACACCTGCTTTTAATGTAGCTCTGGCTCAAACAACATAGAATTTAAAGGAGAGGGCAGGAGGGAAGGGAAGAGCAACCACAGAGCAGCAAAGCCCAGTTTGAAATTTCTCTGCCAGCCTGTTTCAGTTGGGTGTTGTGGATCACCCATCAAAGGCTAATAAGTAACAGCACCGAGGTCGGAGCCAGGGTACATTTATCTACAATATTTACTTAGGGTTTGTGTGATGTTTAAGGTTTGGTAATGGACACTTTCTCGATTGCTTAATTTCGGGGCAGTCTGTTGAAGTAGTGCCTCGTTCCTCTGAGACCCCAAGCCACATTTCCCTTTGGAGTCAGAGCAGCGAATGCTCATTGTTTCTTTCAGCTGGAATTATGGGTGCTCTGTGGTAAAAATAACTTGTACAAAAGGGCCTAAACATGAGCACTGTAACTGTTGGGATTTTGGATGTGAAACTTTAGAAATACCCTCCCGACGTTTCAGCAGCCCTGGCTGTTGCAGCCGCTGTTTGGTGGTGGACGACTAGGCCGCCTTTCCCAGAGCACTGGCCGGGAAGCCCTCCAGAACAGACCAAGACACGGGGGCAGAAATAATTCTTGCTCTTACTATAAAGCCCTCTCCTGTTCTTGGAAGTGAGGGACCACAACTAGGTGCAAAATTTCAGTGGCTTATGGCCAAAGCAATTGTTGAGAAACTGACTTTTTGCCTTTATTTTAAAAATAAGTTGGCTTATATGGCGTGTAAACAGAATTCTGTTAATTCTAGTATTCCCCACTGATGTCCCCCAGCTTCCTTTATTTTTTCTCACTGTAGAGCAAAAAAGCAAATCAGAAACTCCAAATCAAACTGTCTAAGGATCAAAAGTGGACAAGGAAACAGGAGCCTGTGAAGAATCCAAAAACACAACGACAGCTTCTTGGAGAGCTTTATGCTGACAAGGCCTACCTAGAAAAGTTGCTCAAGGATGAAGGTCTTTCTCCATTTTATTTAACTAAATGTTCCTTCTAAGCAGGTTCTTCTGTTATGCCTTCTTCTTGCATATCCCTGTGACTACTCTTCCTTATTTGTATCAGAGCTCACCTAGCACAGAGTGCTTGCGGTGCTCGTGAGAGAGGCAGGTGTCTGGCGAGTATGGGTATTTTTGGAGCCAGATCCAATATTCCTAACTATGAGCATACTTCCTTCCCTATTAAATGTCAGGCTTTTATAACAAGCAATAAATCAACTCAAAGCAATCTGTGCTGATGAAATCAAAAGCAGAAACAGTATCATTACAAACTACTTAACTTCTGTCGTAATGATAAATTCCACCAACACTTGCATTAAGTGCAAAGCATTACTCCTAAGACTGTAATTCATTTGTGGTTTTGTTATAAATGCTGTTAAGATCAAGATGCAGGATTTGGAGAAGTATTTTGGTTTAGAACTAGGCAGAAAGGTGATTCCCCTTTAGTAATTTTTCTAGGGAGCTCTTTACCCCGTAATAGAGAAGTAATTAAGATTTAGTCTAATCACAGGTTTTATGGCATTCGTAGCATTAATAATGTACGTGGACTGTCTGGTTTCCAGGCATGTAAAAGCCCTCTCAATTTTCATCTTGCAGTCTAACCCACAACACTTTCCAAAGTGCCATTTCAGTACAAATGCTCCATACAGTCGTTCTGTCCAGGACGGGTGCTCGCTCATCACAGCTGGCTCCCATTAATGGGCCCCTTCTTGGCTCCTGTCAGCAGAGAAGGCAGCAGCTTCAGGGGCTGGGAACACCAGCTCTAGCTCCCTAAAACACACAGAATGGGTAACAGCAAGGGACTTTTCCATAACTTCCCTCCTAATCATGTCAGTTCTGAGGGGCATGGAAGGCTTTAATTTCTAAGACTGACTATCAGAGCAGAAAAGCATTCACAACCAGTCCCCCACTGAACTGCAGCTTCATCCATCATGTACATTAATACCCTCCTGGGTTCTGCCATCTTATTTTCAGATTTGATGCAGAGCAGAACAAAGCAGGGGATCAAAGTAGCAGACATGGTTTTGAGTGGCATTTCCTACCTGGACACACGCAGTGAGTTCTGGCAGCAGCAGAAGCCTATTTATGCCCGTGTGAGAGAGCGCAAGCTCCAGCAGCAAAGGTGGATCCGGGACAAGAAACGAAAACCAGCTGAGGTTGGCAGATACATTGTGAAGAGTATGGAGGACATCCATATGCGTAGGTGTCCTGGCTGGAAGCAGTAAGAAAATGATGATGGGCATGTGTCATAATTTGCTGTAGTAATTACAAGCCAGAACAGCAGAAGCAGTGCAAATATTAACAAACACTAGTAGGCGCTTTTGGGGAGGTATTTGCTTTTGTATTCTTTACCTTTCCCAACACTTTCTTAGATACAAAATCTAACACGATTTTTTTTCTCAGCTTTTTCTGTACTTGAGGTCTTGCTGATTGGTTTTCAGGACACCACTTAGATTTCAAAGCCAGGTGGGCCACTTCTGCATGCTTAGCAAACGCCTCTGGTCTGGTAATCAGAAGTTGTTTTATTGAGTGAATGCAGGCCACTGGAGTTAATATGTTCTGTAGTTCAAAAATACCATTATAGAGAGATGAAGAAGCTAAAAAACCAGTGGTCTGGAAGGAAAGAGTAATTCAGCCACTTCTGGTCTCTTTCTCTCTGCCTGTCCTACACATTTACAACCCAGGAAAAAGAATTTAGTTGTTACTGGAATTCAGTTCTTTTAAGCTACAGCAGCTGGGTGAAGGTAGTGTCAGGAGCACGCCGCAGTCCCGATCCTGCAGCACTGTAGCCCAGCTGGGTGCAATGAACAGAGCTTGCCAGGAAAGTGCAAGGGGCTCGTTTAGGAGATAAAAACCTAAGTACTGTAGCTAGAACTTCCTCTCCAAGACCAACCTGCCCTGCTGCAATAACTATGAGCTTTCAAAACCTTCAGACAACAGGCATCATTCTCCTTTATTTTTCTTCAGCAAGTGTGAGGTGTTACCAGAGTCATTTCCCTTTACTGTGATGACAGTGATTTCCAGTAGTGCCAGGTGGAGGGTCAGAAGTGCCATCTCCCAGGGGCAGATTTCCTGGAGATTAGAGGGAGGAGTGTAGGAGATGCATGAAGAGCATCTATAGGAGCTCTAACCTTTCCCAAGCCTTGTCTGAGGCTTACACAACTGCACTTAGTCTTACTTCCCAACATCACTGTGTCTGCACACTAGCATTAAACTTTCCTCTGTCTCTAGTGCTGACTGGTGGCTGCCCTGAAGAAAGCTGCAAGAAAGCTGAGAATCTGCTGAAAAAAATACAGGGGTGGTCAGATGATGAAGTTCCCAAGAAGAGTGAACTGATTGGAAACCTCCACAGCTGCATCGGGAACGCTCGGTTAGAGATGGGCCAGACGGAGGCAGCTCTGCAAAGCCATAAAATGGATCTGGAGTTTGCCAGGCAGCAGTAAGTGCTGAGAAGTTCAGGTGGATAGGGAAAAGAGGGAACCTCTGTTAAGATGTTTTAGCATCAGGTAACGTAGTTCCCACCTGGAGATTTAACAGGGCAACACACTCAGACTCAGCCCAAGTATCGTGGTCTCTGGTGAGTTTTTATCATCACTATTTCAAAAATAAGGAGCCTGAAGCAGATTTTTAAAGGACCTAGACCACGTGGTACATCTGCATCTCTGCTGAAGCAAGGCAAGAGAACACAAGTCCCAGTCTCAGCACTTTAGCCTCTAGTATGCACTTCCTTCTCGGGAAGGTCAGACTCTAAATTACACAAGTTTTCTGCTACATTTTTTCTTAAAATCATTTGCATTCACACCATGATAGTAGGCTTGAAATATTTATCTAAGAGGTACCTGCCCATACAGAACACATTTTGCAGCTCTTTCAGCTGTAACAGAATGGAGCAAAATGTAGTCTTAAGATTTAGTAAGAGTTTTGCAAAGCACAGGAGAAAACACTGAATAGTTGCTTGAACTGAAGTTATTTTGGTTTTATTTTTGCCAATTCTGCGAAGGGCTTTAAAAATGTAACTGACTTAGTGTTTATCATTTTCATAAATCACTTTTTAAAATTAATACTGGTTTAAGAAATTCCTGCCTCTCTCCTGGTGATCTCCACTCCCCAGTTTTGCCAAATAAAGTTAAGAATTAGCGGTAGAGAGGCAGGAATGAGCTACATCATTTTAGTACTCTCTTAAATCAACGACAAGCTGCGTTTAAAGGGCAGAGACGCGGCGATGGCTGGGGGGGCCTTGCCCTCTCGTGGCTGGAGCTCAGCAGGGCAAGAGGAGACACGTTAACGCCTCGCACCGCCCCTGGCAACGCATTTATCCTCTGCTTTCATCAGCTTTTTTCATTTGTAAGGTAAGGGTAGTCAAAGCGGGGCTCCTTCCAAAGATGGGAACGAGGACTAATTAAGGAAAAAATGTCAAGCCCACAGGCTACATTACTCTAGAAGAAGTTGCCTCTAGCATGGGGCAAAAGCTTACTCAGAGCACAGGGAGCAGGGCCTGTTATCCTGTGCAGGCGTTTTTGGGTCTTCCCTTTTCTCTTGGACAGAAATCATCTATTAGTGTTAGGGACCCAGGAGCTGGTAGGGGACTTTTGTGAGACCCCACAAGGCAACAAAGGGAAATTGAGGCAAAGAAAAGTAGAAAGACTTTCACCAGGACTGCCAGATTTGCACCAAAAAAAAAAAAAAAAAAAAAGACAAAACTAAACCATTTTCCCCTGTGTCTTATGGGGTGTCAGTTGCAACAGCCGCAGATAAAATCAAAAACCTACCTTGATTTTTTGACTTTCAGTCTGACGTTGGTCCTTTACTTCTCAACACTTAGCCTGAAGTTACATTGAGCACCAAAGAAAACATGTAAGGCTGGAGGAAGCGCAGACTATGTCAGCAACAAGATTATGTCGCTGTGTGAGCTGGCACAGGCAGGACGCAGGAACAACCACAAAACCACAGACAAAATGCCAAGAGTAAATTTATTCCCATTACCTCACAACCCTGAGGATCTCTGCAGCAGCACCCGGGCAGAGGCACACGGGCAGGGACACCGGCACCACGGAGCTCGGTCCTTGCTGGCCGGAAAGAGGAGGAGAAAAACATCTGGAATGTGCTGCTTTCACCTGCAGATCGGGGATCCTCGCAGCTGTACTCTTCCACTGTGCTTTGATCTTTCCCCCAGCAGGGCAGGAGCCCCAAGGATGTTCTGTAGGTGCCTCTGAGTCTCTCCCAGGCCTGTGTTATCGAAACGCAGATGTTCTATCTGTCAAGCACACAAAACTAAACAACAATTAGTATGATGTATGTGGCTTTTGACACCCCAGCTGTAAGTCACTTGAGCGTGTTTACAGTCCTCGCCAACCTTCTGTTATATTCTGACAGTCAGCTCCGACAATTTCTTTTCCTTTTCATCGCAGTGATCTGCCAGATGCCGTATCCAGAGCCCTTGACAACATCGGCAGAGTTTATGCCAGAATGGGCAAATTCCAGCAAGCTATTGACACGTATGTAAAATTAGTAATAGAAAAGGCAGAAGGCTGTATTTTTAATTAAATAGATGGCTTTTCAGTTTGTTTACTCATCCTGCTAGCAAGGGGGGGCTGTGAAATTTTTCATACCAACAGTACCTGAAACCCTTTGTTTATAGACTCAGTGGTTGAAATAACTGCACCCAGTGAGATACAGTAAATGTCTGTCTGTCTGTCTGTCTGCTTGAAGTTGGGAGGAGAAGATTCCAATGGCAAAATCCAGCCTGGAGAAGACCTGGCTGTTCCATGAAATTGGCCGATGTTACCTCGAGCTGAATAAAGCTGAAGCAGCCCAGAATTACGGACAGAAGTCCCTGCAGTCATCAGATGAAGAGGGAGATGTTGAGTGGCAGCTCCATGCTACTGTACTAGTGGCACAAGCACAAGGTAAAGGCATTAGTACAAATTTTGCTCAAGGGATGGAGACAGCCTGTCTGTCCCAGCATCTTAGTGAAAACATCTCTGTGATTTAACAGCCAAAGTAACTGTTCAGATCAAGACCTCTCATCAGACTTGCTTAACTACTGTTCTTCTCTTGATCTTGGTTTAAAATAGATGTTTTCATTTTTCTGTTACAGTAAAATTAAAGGATTACTGGTCTGCGATCATGAACTTTGAGAAAGCACTTGAGAAAGCAAAGCTTATTCACAGTGAAGCTGCTCAAAAGGCCATCATTACTGTAAGTGGGTTGTTGCAAAGAGGAGAGAGACTTGGGACAGCATCAGTAGGTTAGCTGTAACTATTGTCTGGTGAATTGAGAAAACCTCACTACACAGCTAGTGTGTTAAGAGGGGGAAAATGCAGCCTTGGAAGCAGTTCACCTATTAAAAGTTACGAAACCCCCTCAGAAAACTTAACCCCAGTTTATGAACCAGTCCAGCGTATGAAAGGATGAAGGCCTGGCCCTGCTCAGGTCAAGGGAAAATTTTCTTCTGACCTCCCTAGAGAAGTGCTGCACAGTGCCTTCTCTGTGCTCAGGTGCTACCAGCTGGAACGCAGGGCTGATCACAGCTCAGCCTCTTCTGGCCTCTCCAAAACGTCCCAGAGAAACCACTTTGCACCAGCCCATGGAAGAACACGTGGGCATGGCCAGAGGCCCGCAGCAAAGCAGGGCGCCCGCTCTGGCAGCCAGCCTTCACGGCCGGGGGCGGGGGGGATCTGTCCCCAGCCGGCCCGCCAGGCACCGGTCACCGCACAGACACCTCCCTCCCCAATGATCCCTCCCGGGCGATCCCTCCTGGGTGATCCCTCCTGGGCGATCTCTCTCGGGTGATCCCTCCCTGATGATCCCTCCTGGGTGATCCCTCCTGGGCGATCTCTCTCGGGTGATCTCTCCCTGATGATCCCTCCTGGGTGATCCCTCCTGGGCATCCTGTGCTCCGGCAGAGCCCTTTCTCCTGCCAGGAGAAGAGTGATGGTGTGAGAGAGGTGGGATCTTCGGGGGGGGGGGAGGGGGAGACATCTGCTAAGGGATGAATCCGGTAAGAATTGCTGCAGGCAGAAATGAAGTGTATTGTTGAAGAGTTTTACAGTGGGAAAGGACCGGGGAACGACAGCAGAGATCAACACAAAACAGGAAAAACTTAAGTATGTAACTGCATTTCTAGAGCTTCTATTAATAAACCACATCACTTTCAGGCCCTAGATGATGTGAGCAAAAGCTTCATCGAAGAGCTGAACAAAAAAAGAGAAGAAGTGGCAATTTACTCTGTTAAAGGTAATTGTGATTTAGGCCTCTGCACCCCGTAAATATAAAAGTTCTCCACTTCCCTTCCCTGGAGCACAGGCCGAGGCGTGGGAACAAAGCACCCCATTCCCCGGTAGCCAGCACCCACATTTCTGGCCCACCCTGCATTCTCTGTGCTAGTACACAGGAGCAGGAACGGATTTATCTGTGAAGCCATAGCGTAGTTACAGTTTGTGGCTTCAGTTTTTTGGCAGTGATGGTTTAATCTTGAGCTGGTATAAACCAAAGGAGGCGACTGCGGGACGGGGCTCCGAGCAGCCCGGTCTGGGGGAAGGTGTCCCTGCCCGGGGGGGGGGGGACTGGACGGGCTTTGGGGTCCCTCCCAACCCAAACCCCCCTGTGACTCTGGTGTGCGGGTGGAGCCTTGGTAACAGTGGAGGAGCCTGGTTTCCTTCTTCAGTGCCGTCCATTTAAAAACCGGCTTTTAATGACACGGAGAGCAGCTCCAGAGCCCAGGGTGGCAGCCCAGGACGCAGTCGGAAGCAAAACGCGACTGTGGAAGTGGCTGTGAATAAAGGAGATCCACAGCGTGGAGGCCTTCGAACGCACCCGCTGCATCTCAGAATTCACGCGGGACCGATTCCCCCGCAAGGACTGAATTCCGACCCGTGTGACAGCGCCGGCTCCTCCGGCCGCCCGCCCCGACCGGGGCGATGTCGGGCCGGAGCGGGAGGTGGCAGCACCTCCCCACGGGCCCGGCCTCGGCCCCGAGCGGGTCCTGCTCCCGGGGGTCCTACCTTGCGCCCCCCGGACTTCGCAGGGCCGGACCGAGCCCTCAGGGTGGTTTTTCCTCCGCAGATGATGATTTCGGCCGCGAAACCCCGAGAGACGGCAGCGTCGAGAGGGGCAGCGCGGGGGAGGGAAGCGAACAAAGCACCGGGACTCGGGAAGAGGCGAAGCAAAAAGAAGGTGCCGGGAACTGTGAGGAACGTGGAAACGACGGAGAAGGAGGAGATGAAGAAGGAGATGGAGGAGGAAAAGAAGGAGAAAATGAAGGAGGAGATGGAGGAGGGGAGCAGGAGGGGAACTGATGCGAAGACCCAGGGGCCGCGGGTCCCGGGGGGCGGAACGTCGCGCTGCGCGGGCGTGTTGCAAACAAGAGCTGTGCCCTGCGAGCCCGCCTCTCCCTGCGCGCCCACGCGTGGGGCGAAAGCGCCGCCCCCCCCCCCCCCGCCCCGTTCCCCCTTCCCGCCCCCGCGCTACCCCAGGCGGGCACCCAGCTCCGAGCACCCACCGCCTGCCCCCGGGGGAGGGTCCAGGCCGGCCCCCCCGCGCCCCCCGCGCCTGCGCGGTCACGGGTGGGCCCGGCGCTATGAAAGCGGCGGCGGCCGGTCCCGCCCCAGAGCCGCTGCCCCGCCGCGTCGCTCCGCACCGGCGGCCGCCCCGGAGCCGCTGCCCTCACCATGGTAAGGGGGGGCCCGGGGCCGCCGCCCCGGCCACTCGGGTTTCGTTTCGCGGGAGGGGGGAAGCAGACGCGGGGGCCGGGCCCGGGGGGGGGTTCGCGGGCTGCAGCCGGGACCGACCCGCGGGTCCCCGCGGTGCGGCGGCTCCGACCCCGGTGGGGGGGGGGGGGTGTGTGTGTCCCGGGCCGCCCTGGGCGCGACACCCCCGATGCCCGGAGCGATCGGTCCCTCCACGCGAGTCGCCGTCCCGCGGGGAGCCCCGGGGCGCGGAGAGCAGCGGGAGCTGCGCGGGGGGGGGGCCCGGGCGCGGCTCAACGCGGGCTCGTCCGCCCGGCCGGCGGGTCTGTGTGGGGCCATTGTCCGGCCCGGGCCCTGAAGGCGGCTATTGTCCCCGAGCTGGCCGCCGAACAATGGGGCCGGAGGGAGGGTTCTATGATTGTTCTTTTGTTTGCGCGTTTGACAAGCGGCCTCAGTCACGGCCGTCGCCGGCAGCTGCCTCCAGCACAAGAGCGGGACTGGCCCGGGACAGCCGGCCCGGCCCACTCGGGCCGCGGGCACTGCGGGGAGCGGTCCTGCGAGGTGGCTCACGCCGTGCGTGTCCCGCCCGGGGAGCCCCCCCCAGCCCCCGAGCAGGGGGGGGCCGGGCCCGGGCCCCCGGCGCTTTGGAACCAAAACCCACCGGCAGCTTCTCGAGTAAGGGGGGTGGAAAGGTTAATCGGCTGAAGTTGTTTTTACACGCCAAGCGGGAGGGCTGTTTTTCCGCCCCGGGCAGGGCAGGTTGTACGTAAAACCCCTCGAGGCGAAGCTCCCTCCCTCAGCACCGCGGGGCGAGGGCCGGGCACGGGCAGCGGGGACACCGACCCGGACACCAGCGGCTGCCCCGTCGGTGCCACTGAAAACTCGCAGAAATCCCCCGTTTCCTGCCAGGCCCTGCTGGGAATTCATCTGGGACCCCGGCTGCCGGCAAGGGGGCAGCGTGCCGGGGGGGGGGGGGGGCTGCACCCACGAACGGGAAACCAAAGCCCCTGGCGGGAGGGGCGGGCGAGGCGGCGCCAGCGCCAGCCCCACGGCAGCGCCCGGCCCCCGCGTGTCCTCTGGGGCTCCCAGGGCTGGTTTCGCTTTCGTGTTCAGCTCGGCAGCTGCCGCGAAGGGGTTTGTCTTTACCGGAAACGATTTCAGTCGCTGTTTGTGGCGAGAGGAGCCCAAATTCCCGCCTCCGAGGCATTCGGGGCGCTGGTGCTCAGCGTGCTGTGAAGAGCTGGCAGACCCTAACGCCGGAGGCGGCATCCTCGCAGGCTTCGCCTTTCCTAGGGGGCTGGAGGAGTCCCTGGGCAGACTTAAATCCCGCTGCGGTTTTTTTTTTTTTTTTTTTTTAATTCAGATGAAGTGAGGAGATTGCAGCTGCTGTCACAACCTGCTGGCACTTTCGATTCCCGTTTCAGGCGGAGTTCTGCCCCCGGCGCGCCGCACCCTTGCTATCTAGTAGCCACAGGTGTTGATTTAAGTGTTCAGAAATAAGCCTGCCCCCGGACGGGCTGTGCCCGGGCTGTAGCTTCGTGGCAGCTCGTGGTGCCACGCGACGGGTAAAACTTCCCCTTCCTGGGCTGGCGGGACCGCGCTGCCGGGCCGGGGAGCGGAGCTGGAGCTGCACCTTCGGCTCCTCGGGGCCGGGGGGGGCAGAGGGCCCGGGTCCCTGCTGCGGGACCCGCCGGGGCGGCTGTGGGCTGGTTTTGGCCAAGCAGCGCAGGGGCCGGGGGGTGGGGGTGTTCCCTGCGCCCCCTCCTCCCAGCAAAGGCTCTCAACGGCGCGCGCCTGCGCAGGGCGACCGCGCGGTCTCCGGGGGTTGCGAGCCTGCCAAATATTTCCTTCTTGCATTTCAGAACAGAGGCTTCTCGAAGAAGAGTCACACGTTTCTGCCTAAAATATTTAGAAAAATGTCTACTCAATCAGCGAAAGAAAGACCTGAAAGCTTGCAGTTCCCTTTCCTTGATGATGAAGAGACCATCTCCACAGTCAAAGAATCTAAAACCTTTTTTATTTTAAGAGGCCTGCCTGGCAGTGGGAAGTCCACTCTTGCCCAGGCTATTCAAGATAGGTATAAAGATGCCTGCAAGGTCATCTCTGTTGATAGCTATAAAATTACACCTTCAGTAAGAAGCACCATTCCCGACGAGTATTCAAAGGTGGATGAGGATCTAGTTGACTATTGCAAACGAGACATCAGCGTTATCGTTTTGGACGACACTCACCATGAGAGGGAACGGCTGGACCAACTCTTTGATATCGCTGACAAATACCGGTACAAAGTCATCTTTGCTGAGCCCAAAACCCAGTGGCGAATGGATTGCTCGCTGCTGAAGGAAAAGAACCAGTGGAAACTGTCAGTGGAAGAGCTGAAGAAGATGAAGCCGAGCTTGGAGAAGGAATTCCTACCCATGTATTTTGGGTGGTTTTTGAGCAAAAGAAGTTCAGAGGTCCTGAGGAAGGCTGGCCAGGCCTTCTTAGATGAGCTTGGAAGTCTCAAAGCCTTCAAAAAGGAGAGTAAATTCTGTATGTATAGAAGTATCTTACCACCTGTTGATGAAATGTTAACAGCAAAGGGAACCAGTTTGGTCAGCTTCTAAAGTGAACTTCTAGTTAAAAACTGTTCAAAGCTACTAATCTGTTTCCCATGGTTGACAAAGTTGCTGTTGTAAGTAAAAATAAGTGAAACGGTTTTTCCTAAGGAGTCTGTTTAGCTCCGGCCCCGCGGGAGCCGGGCTCGGGCGGCTGAGCATCCCCTGGTTGCTGCGATGAGTCGGAGAGAAAAGGGAAAGGCTGACCAACCTTGTCCCCGAAGGGATTCGTACAACATCGAGGTTAAGACGAGCCCTGAAGCTTGTTTTCTACTTGTGTCCAGTGTTAGCCTAGGGGGAAGGAGGAGTTTTATTGACCCACCCAGTGCTTTTCAGCAGTGAGAAAGACGAAACGTGAAGGACGGGTTGCTGAAGGAAGCTGAGATGGGATTTAGGCTCATGGGGTGACATCATGGGAATCATTTTTTTATAGTAATATTGTTTACCTGTATTTGCAGTTGCTTCTGCTATTGAAGATCCCAAAATAAAAATAGATCTCACCAGCTACTTCGTGAAGAGGCCGCCTGGGGTCTTGCACTGCACCACAAAATACACCGATTTTGGGAAAGCGGCTGGAGCCGAGGAATACGCCCAGCAAGAAGTGAGTACCGGGGCTCCCACTCCTCCCCGCCAGCCCGGGCCCTGTCCCCCCCCAGCTGGGGATCCACGAGCCTTTTCGGGGGGGAGAATGTGCTGGGGATGTGGCTGTGCTTGAAGCCGAGAGGGTGACTCGGGACAGTGAGCGCATCCCCACGGCCTGTGCCACCGAAAAGTTGTAACTGTGGGGGAGGTGGTGACCGCTTCCTGCTCCAGGCCCCTGTCAGCCCCCGATTCCAGCACCGGCTCCAAGAGCTGGAGGTGAATGAGGTGAATTTAAGGTTTTTACGCTTCCAGCTAAATTATTTCAAAACGGATAAGCCCAAGTTAAGTGTTGGAATTTGTGAAGGAAAAAGTTGTAGCCAGCTCCGAATTCACGGAGCTTCAGGCCGTGGGCCTCGAGCTGCAGGCAGAGCTGCAAGTCTGTCAGGGCAAAAGCTGCTGTGATCAGCCAAGAGCCCGGGCTTGCGGCCACTGCGGCCACCCCACCGCTGGCCGTCCCGCCCATCTGCAGCCACTGAAAGCTCTGTCTGTCCTCCCTCTCCTCCCAGGCTGTGAGGGCTTCCTACGGCAAAGGCTTCACCTTGTCCATTGCCGCTCTGTTCGTCACAACAAAAACTGTCGGGGCTCGCGTGGAGCTGAGCGAGCAGCAGCTGCTGCTGTGGCCCGGGGACGCCGACAAGATCCTGCCCACCGACAACCTCCCGAAAGGCAGCCGGGCTCACGTCACCCTCGGCTGCGCCAACAGCGTCGAAGCAGTCCAGACCGGGCTCGATCTGCTGGAGTTTGTGAAACTGGAAAAGGCGGGGAACAAAGGGGATGAAGTGGGGGAAATTGGAGGAGGGAAACTGCTGTATTTTGATAACGGTATGTGGATGCTCGTCCTTTCTAAAAAGATCGAGGTGAAGGCAATATTCTCAGGCTACTACGGAAAAGGAAAACTTGTGCCAACGCAGAGCACCAACAAACGGGGCTCGGCGTTTAGTTCCTGCACCATCATCTAGGAGCGTGGGCCGGGTAGCTGGCTGGTTTGTTTTTAAAAGGCAAGTAACTCCTGTAACCTTTAAAAGTGTAAAGAGAAATAATTCTACCTTTACTAAAGTAAGCCCTTTTGCCAACCCCTGTGCGAAGCCTCTCTGGGGAGAGAGTTTATTGGCCTCAGGCCAAGGAAGAAAACAAGCAACTCTTGACTGACGAAGGAAAACTGTCACGTAACTGGTGTCAGTAGCTGAAGGGCTGCCGGGTGTATTTTAGTGGAAGAGTTTTGGGAGACCTGTCTGTGCTGTTCTGCTTGTTTTCTTCCTGGGAGGACGATCAGCTGTGGTCTTGTGTAGCGCCCCCAGCAGCCGCAATCGTTAGAGCTGTCGCTGTCGGCCCCGCCGGCGGCTGCAGACCGAAGCCAAGGGACGGGGCGAGGACTCTCCCCTCCCCGCCAGCCCAGGGACCGGCGCCAGCAGCCGAACCGGGCGAAGGCAGCGGGGGGCTGCTGCTCCCCGAGCCCGTGAGGACTCGCCGGGGGCCGCGGGGCACCCCCAGCCCCGCTTCACCCCCGTGGGCGTGGGGGCGCTCCCTGCGGGGGCGGGCGGGCAGCGGGAAGGGAAGAGCAGGAGAGGGGCCGGGCTCCTGGAGGGATCAGTCCTGCCCTGGCAGGGAGTGGAAGAGATCAACTAATGTCTTTTCCATCTTATTTTATAGAAACTAAAATCATGTCTGAAGTATAGACCTGTACTTCATGCAAGATTTTACTACTTTTCTCTAATGCACTTGAATGTTAAAAGTTAGCATGGCAGTAACCGTGTAATGTAGGAAGTAAGCGGAGGTACCGTAACTGCGTAACTCAAGTCTGCTCAAACCTAAACCCTGGGCTGGGAAACCCGCTAATGACCAAGCACTCCTGTTATTAAGTGTTGTATTGAAACTCATGTTTTTGCTCTCTGCCCGACCCTTGGCCCGTTGGTCAGGGGCGTGTGTCACTACTTGACAGTAACACAAAGCTCAACTAACAGATTCCGGTCAGGACAACAGTCTGAACTCCTGCTGTGGCTGCGGGGCTGGCGAGCTGCGCGGCGACCTTAACCCCGTCCTAACACTTGTCAACCCCCAGCGCGTGGGGGGAGTGGGGCCCAGCGCCGCCCGCGCGTCTCGGGGCGCCGAGGACAGAAGCCGGGGGGGCTCGGGGGCCGGGGGGCTCAGGGGCCGGGCGAGTTTACCAATAAAGCGAGCTAGTTCCTGTTGTTTTAAAAAAGATGGATGATAATAAACTCTCATTGGAGCATAAAAGAAAGGCTGCACGCACCCACCTGTAATCCTCCTCTGTGATCAACAGAGAAACCCGAGCTCAGCTTGGGCCTTTCCTAACAGAAACCTCCCGTTTAAAGTTCCATCAGAACTTTAAATCCGCCCTCAGCGCCGGCCCAGGACGGCGCAGGAGGAGGCTCCCCCCGCTCCCCCCCGGCCCTGGCACGAGCCGCGGCACAGCTGGAGTATCTCGTTTATGTGCCTGTTCAAGAACAACAGTGAGACCGTCGTCATTTAAGTTTTTATTAGTTTGTACATCATATACAGTTTATAATAAAGTAAACCAATTGCATATGGTTTTGCTTCAGTCTGTGATATTCTTCATATAAACACATCATTATGAGTTATGCCTAATGAAGTAAACAACAAATATTCACATTTTTACCATTCACATCCTAGAAAGGTAAGGGTCCAAAGAGGGACAGTGTTCACACCGGTGCGAAGCCCGTCTTGGAGAGGATGACGCGTTTGGCAAAGCGATGGGGATAGCGATTGCTCCATGCACTACTCCTTTCCTCCGCCGGGAAAGGTTAAGGTATTTACACTGAGGTAAACATTCAGAATTTTGATTCAGATAAATACTGCAGCACGGGGTCCAGCGTCCTCTCCAAGTTGGCTTCACATCAGCGCCTGGTTTTGTCTCGTCTACTCCTCAACGTCGTCACAACAAAGCTGATGTGCATGCAATGAAGGTGCCGGGTTTGCCGTTTCGCGCTCCACCCCTCCACCGTCGCCTCCCGCGCCTCTCCCCTTTCAGCCTGAGCTACGAAGTGCAAGCGGGGGGCAGAGGGGGGGCCCGGCCCCTCCCGCGGCCGAGCCTCCCTCCGGCTCTACACCAGAGCCAGAGCCAGCGCCGGCCTCTCGCTGCCCGGAGCGGGGACGAGCCCGTCCCTGCCCCGGCAGGCCGGGGGGAAGGCGGGGGGCGCCCAGGACGGCCGAAGCACCGCGCATCACCTTCCAGGGCCACGCACGAGGTCCCGCCGGCCCGTGAGGGGGACATCGGGGGCAGCTCCAGGGCACAGCAGGGCGGCCCCCGCAGACGGGGGGTGAGGGGAGGGCAGCGCTCCCGCAAGAGCCGGGCCGGGGCTCGGCGCCGCCCGGGGACCCAGGAGCTGCCCCTCCTCCCTAAGCGAGGGCAAGGCACAAGGCACGAATCTAAACGGGACGCAAACCAGCCACTTGAAGGCAAGCGACTATGTTTAGTTAGTACAGAAACTGAGGAAGTAATTTCGAAAGAAGAGCCGACCACCGTGTGGTCCAAACGCTTTGGTCCTTCCACTGGTTGAGGCGGCCGGGGCAGCGCGGCCGGCGGGGGCCCAGGGGCTGAGCCAGTTCCCGTGTCAGCACCTTCCCCTCCGTGTCCCCGGCAGATACAGAAAGCTGAGGGACCTGCAAGATTCCACGGATAATAATACGGTTGTCCCTAAACAATTCTTTTTTCTTCCTCCTTTTTATCAATATGCATTAACATATTTACAAAACAGTCAGAAGCCTTTAGCGCTAAGGATCCAGCTTTACAGCAACACTTCCAAGTTCACAAAGAAAACCCTGTGCTCTCCTGGGCAGTACGTGTAGCCAGAACAATGAAGAGCCCGTCAAAGTGGGCAGCCAGAAACATCTCAGTGGCCTTTACAGCTGATTTCAAGTCCAGGCTCAGTGTACCTGGGAAGGACTCTCAGTCCTTCCCGCAAAAGGTGGAGCTGACACAGCATCAGATTTGCAAAGTAAATCCACGCAAGAAAAAAAAAAAACCCCACACCACACTTTGTGGCCTAGAGGTCGGAGCACTGCACATGCAAGCAGCTCCCACACACTAACGTCACTGATGCGTGTTCTCAGTTTTAAAGCACGAAATTGCTTCCATTTTCACTTGAATGCAACCGCGTTCCACCGTTTGAAACGATCCCTACGGCAGCTCAGACACGAGCATCATTACGCAAAAACACATCAGGGGGAGTCAAACAAATCTCTGTTTCCTTGCAAACGCCAGAGTCCCGACAGCCCGGCCCCACTCCACACGCCCGCCCTGCGCCTCGCTCCTCCCCGCAGCTCTCAGCCTTCCCGGGGGGAAGCCGACAGCCGCCCCGCCGGTCCCCGAGCCCTTCGGCAGCAATTCCTTCCAGCACATCGGCTAAAAAACTCCTCCCCTCCGCTCAGCCTCCTCAGCTCGGCCGCCCCGGGTACCTCCGGCCCCGGGGCACCCGCGCACCCTGCGGCAAACGGGCCGGGGCACGCTCGGGCGCCTGCCAGGGTTAATCATCAAGGCTCTTGCTGATACGCCACAAATAGACCTTTCGGGGACTGCAAAGAGGGACTTCCAGAAGGATACCTCTTCTCAGCAGAGGGAAGGGCTTTGCTGCTGGCTTCTTCCACACGCCGGGTTCGCGTGGTGCCCGACGGTGACACCGAAGGGACGAGCGCCCGATCCTCACCGCGCTTGTGCTCCGAGGGTACCCCCGCCTCCTGCCGCCCCCGGCAGCGCTCCCCTCCCAGGGAAGGCACGGCTGTAACACCACCCCAAGACACTTATTCACCATCCCCGTGGCCAGCGCCTACGCCTGGCGGCTCCCAGCGAGCCGGAGGAAGCCAGGGGGGTCTGCGGAGTGGCAGCAGCTAGAAAAACGGCACCAAGCGTCCCTGGGGCTGCGACCAAAACCCGACCCAGGCACAACGCTCCGTAACTACCACGTGTGAAAGGCAACGTTCCAAGCCACGCACACCTCAGCAGGTTTCTCCGAAAGGGAGAGCGCCCCGTGCCCCCACGCCGTGCGAGGACACGGCGCCTCCCACTCCAGGCGCTGCTGCCCCGAGGCGACCCGAGCCGCGTCTGCTCGCCCTCGCCTCGAGCCACGCGACACGCTCCTTAGAAAAGTCTTGGCACTCACCATATTAACATTGAACTACATCAAATCATGCATCCACGTACAGGTCTATAAGTATCCGCTGTACACATTTTCCCTCTCAGAAGAAAAGCCATTCCCCTTCTGCCCTCCAAGGAATGGCCTCGTTCCACGTTTGGGCAGAAGGAAGCCTGTCGTACTTCACTGGCGGAGGGGGAAACACTAAAAACCACGGACAGATGCGGGACACGCCTCTGCATGGTGATAAGAGACTGAGAAAAGTCCAAGCTGTACAGTAATATCGATACACTCGGGACAAAACGTTATGAATCCAGAATGCCGCACTAAAACAAGTCCTGTAAACTCTGATTTACAAGTGCCATGAGAACTGGAGAAGTATCAATATGCATAGCCCAGTATTGCAACTCCCCAGATAATCACGTTCCAGAGTCTGGACCTTGTTTTGCCCTCAGTGCAATCCGGGCAAGTCCATCACATCACACTGCTGTGAAGGAGGTTACAATAAACGTCCTAGAGTCCGGTTTTGGAAATATTACTCAACATTGCTCGTTTTAAAAGCTGACTTTTGAACAAGTTATAAAATACTTTGTTCTGCAGTACTAGAGTTTAAGCCCTTAAGTCTCCCCTCTGTGAAAGCAGATTGTCAAAACATCCGACAGCGCGCAGCCCCAGGCCTGCGCCCCCGGCAGCACCACGACACTAGTGCCACTGGCGGAAACGAAGTTCACCTGCGCCGCAGCCTCGCGACTCTGTCCCACCGAGCAGGACGAGCACGGCCCCCGGGAGGAAGGAAGACAAAGATGTCAGCATTCGCAGCAATCGTTCCGTGCAGTGAGCTCACTGCACTCTTGTTCCTGCGGTGAGAAGTTAAATCGGGTATTATAGAAGAGTTAGTGCCAGGCTCCTCTAGGCCGAGCCTTGCGCGCGTCTGTGCGAGCGGCCGTTCGCTCGGCCGGGCCCAGCTGGGCCCCCCGGGTGTCCCCACGGTGCCGGTGCCCGGAGCCTGCCCTGGCGGCGCCGAGGGCCCCCCGGCGCCCCCTGAAAGCCAACGCGCCTCCCCGCTTCCGCGCAAGGGCGCCGGCAGCCCGGCCAGCCCGCGCGCCCCGGAACCGCTCTGCAGAGAGCGCGGCCCCTGGCCCCGGCGGGACGGAGCTTCGCTCTCCCGAGCGCAGGGAAGCGGGGCCCCTCTCCCAGCTCGGCTCTGGCTGCAGCACCACCCTGGGCTCAGGAACGAAGCGGCCGGGTCGCGCTGAGCGGCGGTGCCGCCCGGCCCAGCCCGCGGCGCCGCGCAGCTCCCGGCTCTCCGCTCACCCCTCCGGCGCCCGGCCCGACACCGTGCGAGAGAAGCAAGTGACAGGCCGTCAGTTCGGAGCTTGACTTTGCATTTTCTTGCTTCTTTGGACTAGGAAATCACTTCCGGCTGGAAACGACTAGTTTAACGTATTTGTACAGTCCCTGTAAACATTATGAGAGCACACTGCTGCGCACGCACAGTAACCGTTTTCAATTATTAACCTGAATTTTACGCTGCATTTCTTCAGAGCGAGAAAGAGCTCATCCACGTTGTGGATCAGTAACACGAAATCAAACGTCAAGCTCAACAAAATCAAGTTTTAGCACAAATATTAAATGCTCAAGTGGATTAATTAAAAAAAGCACGGTGAAGGAATTCAGCCCAGAGCAAATTCAGTATTCCCCTAAACAGGACAATTCTTGGGAGCGGAAACACAAAGCCCTTAATTCTAGCTGCATCACAGGGAATTCTCACAGAAGCTGCTCTTTCAAATCCAAAGAAGCATTTCTCCGATACAAAATTGTTAAGCTCACATGTTATCAGTCAAATTAATGCCCAAGTGCACCGGCACGGCAAAAGAAAAAAAGGAAAAAAAAAGAGAAAAAAAAAAAGACAGCTGGCAGGTAAAAATACAATTGTATGAAACTCGATTGAATCTTGGCAATATTTTCAGAAGATTAGGATAACTTACAAGTTACTACAAACCCCAGACATGCTGCCATACTGCACTTTGGAGCCAACCAAAACAGAACAGGAGATTACTTCACCCTCTTATGAGTTGCGATTCTGGGAGGACATCAGGGAAATCCTTTCTGCTGAGGAGCAGGAACAGTCTGAAAGTACGGGCCAGCATGGAGGGACCAAAAGATTCAAAGCTTTATTTTTTTTTTTTTTTTTTTAATAAAGTTAACAGTAAAACAAAATTCACAAGCCTTTCCCTCCCCGAGCTGGTTTCCTCTTCACACACAAAAGCACACAAAACAGAGGTCTCCAACCGAGAAAACTGAAACTGCTCTAAGTACAATGAGACATGATGAAGGAAGGTGTCTAAGAATGTCCGTATTCAAGGTTAAAATAAGCAGATCAGGTATGTGTGGTTGTTTTGTGGTTTTGTTTTGTTGTTGGTTTTTTTTGTTTGTTTGTTTGTTTTGTTTTGTTTTTAGCCAAACTGGAAAAAGAAATTTCCAGGCCCAGAAGCTGAAAAAGAAAATGAAAGATATTAGCACTTTCAGAATTCAAAGACAACGCGGTTACCTACTATCCTGCAGTAGCTTGATGCCAAGCTGGGGCTTAGTTCAAACACAAAACGTCTGACCAAGTAGGAGAGGCGAGATCTTTGCTATGCATTTCCAACCGCTCATTTCCAACAGTAAAAGAGTGGGCTGCTGCCAACATGGGTAAAGGAGGCAGATTCACAGGGGGAAGGTGAAGAGTGCACGAACGTGCAAGACTCCTCCAAGCCCGTGAGGAGCACACACGTCCCTAGCCGACAGGTGCTCTGAAGCCATCCTACCGCAAGGTGCGTGAGGAAGGCCTGACCACCCCCAGGCTTTACAGCTTCATCACCTCCAGGCACCTCGGAGCGTCCTGCCCTGGGGGGGATTTAGTGCTGTGAAACCAGAGGAGAGCGCCGCGGGACACGTAGCACAGGACTTGTGGCCAGGGATCACCGCCTGCTGCTGCAGCCCCAGCAGCTCTGTCCCAGTCACGGCCAGGCGGCAAAGCACCGCTCAGCTGGCAAAGCCCACACACGCCTCCACAAAAGGCAACCCCTGGGTTTCGTGGCTTTTGAACACAAAAGAACCAGAACTGGCCATCAGCTGGGATGCTGTGCAGACAGAACGTTCCAAAAGCTCCTAGAGACTTTTATGTGCAAGAGTCAAATCCTCTTCTCAAGCAGCACATCCGCTCTGGGAAACCCAGCTGTCCTGACAAATGACTTGTGTACTTACCTTCCCGCAGCCAACAGGAGAACACTTCCACCTACCTTCAAAACTGAAGCCACCTGGCCCACCAAAGAAGGCCTTGAAGATATTATTTGCATCAAACTCTACAGGGAAGAAAAAGAAGCTGTGAGCTGAAGTGAAACAGCCAGCTACAGTTTTCACAATTTAGAAGCTGCCACCTAACTGAGGGCCCGTGAAGCATTGTACAAATGGACAAGAAGCTGTAAACAAATAGCTCGCTCTGAGCAGTGCTACACAGCAGCAGAGTGCAGGGCCACTGGCAGGAGCTGCAAGCAGGTAAAAGCAACAGTCGTCAGAGAGACAATTCCAGTCACAAGGGCAACCTCAGAATTTCGGATAAGCACCATTTAGGGACCCACAATCTTGCTATTATGCTATTTTACACCTCCTATGAAAGACTTGTGCCTAATGACAGCTGTTACCTGCCAGCTCAATCGAGGGTAACTTCCACCATATAACCTAGACTGTTCCCAGCTTGAAATGTTCGGTGCAGTTCTGAATGTTTTCAGATGCTTTCCGAGACCAAACCGGGTCAATTCACAGAATTACTACAAACGGGAGGTCTGCTTTAGAGGAGAAGACAGACTCTAAACGCTCTAATCTTTTTGAAGGCTCTCATGGTAGAATATCGTAAGGAACACTTACCTCCCATGTTCAATCCGTCCTCCTCCAGATCCTGCCCGCTGTCGTAGCGGGCCTTCTTCTTGGGATCTGACAGGATGGTAAAGGCTTCACCAACCTCCTTAAACTTCTTCTCCTCTTCCTTCTGTACTTCTGCACTCGCCCCGCTGTGTCGGTCTAGAGGCACACAAACAAGCAGGAAAGCAGCTTTCAGTCTCCAGCCTAAATGGAAAACGCAGCACACTCCCAGCTGCTCTCACGGCACGTATTCTAGATTTGTGGGCTCAGAACTGCTGATGGTCCAGAAATTCCCCCTTTCGTATTTATTCCTGCCTCTGAGTGATGGGTGCACAGGGCGCACACATGGAGCAAGGGGAACAAAGCAACAGTAGGTGCTCTAATACGGGACTGGTTGGGGGTACCTGGATGATGCATCAGCGCTCTTTTCCTGTAAGCCTTCTTGATCTCATCTTCAGAGGCATTTTTGTCAACCCCAAGGATTTTATAGTAGTCTTTCCGTTTGCTCTTTTTCAGTTCCACCTGTGCGTTCTTTAGAAGCTGCTTGTGTTCTAGAGAAGTGCAATGCCAAAGGAAAGCGGCTTTAGTGTCAGGCACAATCTCCTGCTTTAAAAAGAGGTTGAAGACCAACATGTTGAGCTGATCTGGGTTGAAGGAGTCAAGCACCACAAGCAACCAGCCCACTTGAATTTACAGCCAGGCAGTTAATTAAAGCCTCACTGTCCACTTAAGGCTGTTTCCCAACGTAGGTAACTGCCTCAGTGCTGATAAACCAGTACTAGACACCAAAGCACAAGGACCAAGCCTGCTCTGTCCGTTACATTTCAGGCTACAAAAAAAATCTAGACGCCAGTTACGAATGAGACCCATAACCAGATATTCTGAATCTCGTGTACTGCTTCAGCTGCAAGCTAAATCATCTTCTCAGCACTCAGTGCTGGGAGAGAAACCAGATCCCGAGACGGGTATTTCAGAGCACTTCTGGGGATTTTCCCAGTACTGTCCCGCTGGGTAAAAGGCTGCAAATCAGAGCGTATTTTGGGGATAAAAAGCAAACAAAAGCAGCAACAACAACAACAAAATGCCAGTTAAGGGAAACTTGTGAACACAAAAAGAATGTCAATATGCTCACCTTTCGTTTTTTCTGTCTGATAAACCTTTTCATAGTCTCTTACAGCATCTTCATACTGTTCTGTGTCCATGTAACTGTGGAAAGAAACACTGGTGGCCAAGGTGTACTTCACAGGAAATATCAAAAGAGGGCTCAGGTACAAGCTTTCTGGATGGATATGAATTGAGCAAAAGATGTGCACTGGACTGCAGAAAGAGCCATCATTAGGGGAACCCACGAAGGGTCACTCCTAGGCTGACTGGAAGATCAGACACGTGCTATTTGTGGGAAATCCTGGCACAGGAACCTGCACTTTGGCCTCCGAGTGGAGACTGCAGTCTCATTTGGCAGCACAAGTTCTACTTTAACGACCTGATAATTACATTTATCCAGCCGCAGGGGCTAATACCAGCCAGCAGGATTTCAAGGAAGCTGGTGCAGAGCTGTGCCCCAGCAATGCTGGTTAGGAGCGGCAATCCCGGCACCTCAGGGACGCGTGCCTGTCCACTGGTGTCTCAGCCTTGCTCACACACGACGACCCTGTGTGCTGGGTTGACCCCGGCTGGACAGCAGATGCCCACCAAAGCCGCTCTATCACTCCCCTTCCTCAACTGGGCAGGGGAGAGAGAATATCATGAATGGCTTGTGGGTCGAAATAAGGACAGTTTACTAAAGCAAAAGCAAGGGCCGCGCGCAAAAAGCAAAGGGAAACAGAAGATTTTATTCTCTACTTCCCATCAGCAGGTGACGTCCGGCCACTTCCCGGGAAGCAGGGCTTCAGCACGGGTAGTGGGTGCTCCGGAAGACAAATGTAAATAACAAATGGCCCCCTTCTTCCTCCCTTCTCTCTGCTCCTCTTGCTGAGCACACATCATATGGTCTGGAATATCCCTCTGGTCAGGCTGGGTCAGCTGTCCTGGCCATCTCCCCTCCCAAGATCTTGCTCCCCCCCCTCAGCCTCCTGCCGAGGGAGGAATGCTGGAGAGCCTTGACGCTGTGCCAGCACACTGGTGTGTTATCAGCACCTTTGTAGCTGCCAGTACACAGCACAGCACTACCAGGGCTGCTGTGAGGAAAAATTAACTCCATCTCAGCCAGACCCAATACGCTGTAATTTAGCAGTTACTGAGATGGAGCTTGTGAAAATCACTGAAGGCTGTAAACTAAAATGAATGCTGTAATAATGGGTTTGGCTCATCTATAAACCAGGCAGCTTTGCCACAAACTGCGGAATAGTAAGTATTGAGAAAAGTAGCAAATTAATCCATGGTCAGAACAGAGCTCTGACTAGTTTTCTGGTTGGTGCCAAGTTACAAAGGAGACACAGACCTGAGCATCCTTTGCACAACTTGCTCGGCCCCACTACGCTACGCTGCAGCATTATCTGTGGCTGAAATACGCATAGCCTCAGCTGATTTATCTTTTATGGGAAGCAGGGCATCCCATTTCAAAATCTGCTTTGTTGGAAATGTGAACAGCTCTGCCAGGACAACATCGCTTTTTACCCGCAGCAGCCCTTCTGAAAAAGCTTGAGAGGGAGGCTCTCTGGGACAGCACATCTTACCTAAGTCTATAAACACAGTAAGTCAAGTTTTAGAAAAAATCCTGCCTAAATACAAGAATCAGCAAGCAGTCTGAGATCCATGCAGGCAGGACAGACTACACAGAGCTTCCCCTCGTCTCCCCGTCAGCGTAAGGAAGAGGAATAAGTTCAGGACCCCTTCAGACAGAACCTTTTAGGCAATTAAGCTTCAGATTTGTTATCGCTGTCACTCAGTGCTGTAGGGAGGAGGTTCTCACCCCCCGACCCGCGCAGCATGCCCATCAGAAAGGTCCACTTACCACTGTGCTCTCCTCAAGTAAGCTTTGATATACGTGTCATCCAGTTTTACTGCATTCGTGCAGTCATCTATTGCTTCTTCAAGTTTCCTAAGCTACAATATCAGACAGAAGTTAACTGAACCCCAATCAGAACAAATTCTGCTAAGTAGCATTATGATTTTAGGCAAATTAGAAGTGTAAAGAATCTTGGAAAGCCTCACTGTTTTGTATGTCTGTGTCTAGGAAATTTTTTCCAATCCCCCAAAAACACAGAGCTTTTGATCCCTAGGGAAAAATTAGAAGCTTGGCTAGTGAAATAGCGTAACTACATAGTGATTCTCTAAGAAATGCACTTGGAAACAAGGGTCTTCCTGAGAACGATCTGAAAACCAAGTTATTCTGTGCCCAAACTAATTCCCAGACAGGAAAACAAACTTCATATTTAATTATTTTTAATTTTTTTAAAAAAAAGCATTATTTATTTTCAGAGTCATGTAAAATATCCATTACTGTTGCCTCCAGCTCATCCCATCTCCCAGGGGGAAACACGCCTAGAAGAAATGCAGGCTGGAAACGGGAAGCACTACCACATGAGTGACTGTTTCTCTGGATAGTGCATGACCAAAATGCAACAGCAAACCTGGAAAAAGTGTCCCCGGTTTTTAAATTAGGTCATATTTTTAAGAACAAAACCCAAAGCAAGACAGATGGTTTACAAGAAGAATAAGACATCTCCTCATTACCAGGAAGGAAACAAATAAGGATGCCTTTATGCTGATTAAAATAAGGCTAAACTACATTCCTCTTTTCCCTCCCACTCTGTGCAGTCCAAGTATTTGAGTTTTGTTTCTTCAGGAGTCAACTTCGTTGGCTGTTTGGAACAGATCCAATCATTGTGCAAGTACAAAAACCTGAAACATTGCCTACAGCACTAGAACGACCCAGACACCCCAGCAGCCAGAGAAGCCTATGCTTTCCAGAATAACTGATTTGCAATTTATAAACTACGTGGTGAGGAGTACGATGAAAGGCCACCTGCCAGGTGACGACTTCTTACCTTTGAATTAACTGTCCCCCGGTTGCAGTAGAGTTTGGCATTTGTTTTTATGTTATTTGGATCTATTCCTAGTGCCTCTGTGTATAGTTCATATGCTAATTTGTAGTTTCCTTCTTTGAACGCTTTATTCCCATCTTCTTTCTTTGCTTTAAGTGCTTTGGCATTCTGAAAGAAAATATACCCTGGATAAGGACGTTAGGTAAGTGGTTCGGGAGTACCAAGCACCTTATTTTGCTGGGTGAAGGTCCTCAAACATAACCGTTCTAATTTGGTTTCAGACACCATTACAGGATATAAAAGTCACAGCCTTGCTGCAGCAGCTGAAACGAGCTGTGAGCATTTTGCCTTTCCCACAAGAGAAGTGCTAAGGAACAGCCAGTGCTAGTTACAGGCATTCTCCATGGGAACAAAGGTTGCCTAATGCTAAAAACAAGAACATGACAGTGAAGTAAATGTGTTTAAAATAAATACGAATGGGATGTCACTTTTTGAGAGCTTATGCAAGTAAACATATTTAAAAAGTCAGTCAAAGAACTACAACAGAGCAGAAACGAAGGAACAACATTGAAAGGAACAGTGTTTAAATGCAAATCAACCTGCAGGCACTAATATTGAATCTGAAAGTCAGAAGTTTTTAGAACCAACAGACCTAGTTTTATTGCTCCAGTATCTGATCAAAGAACAAAGAAGAATGAAAGGGAGGCAGTTTTCAAAGTATCAGTCTTCTGAGAAAGAGCTTCCAGCAATTCAGTTTTACCGAAAGCAGCGGCTGGTTGTGTTTGGGAAGGGCTCGACAAGCTGCTTGCTACTGGTGAGCTGGGGAGGGATCATGCTGAGGGAAGGAGAAGGGATCGATGCAACAGGACAGCTAGGTGTCTGGTTTAAAAAAAACAAACAAACCCTAGCAATTTTGCAGTCCCATCCCCAGTAGCCACAACTTACACGGCAGGCAAGACAAGCTTTCTCATGATCAGGAGCCATTCTGAGTGCTTGGACAAAGAACTGCACCGCCTTCTCAATACAGTCCTCATAGTAAAGGCAGAGACCACGGACATACAGAGCATCTGCATTTGTTGAGTCCATTCGCAAGATGTCACTGTAATAGACACATCAAAAAAAGAAATGTTTCCCTATGCCAGTTTTCTTCTGCTCTCCAAAAGCACTCTTCCTCTGCTGAGATATTTAGTTATTTTACCAAGTTTGTGGTACAGATGTGCAAAAAGTATGTGAACTTGCTCAAGCAAGACTGCTGGTTATTAACTGAGTCTAAATACAGTTTTCCAGTATAATTAACTTTAAAGGGGATAAATTAACGCACTCTTCCTCATCACAACCTGCAGTAAGGACTGCTCCTTTTTGATATTCCCTCATTCGCTCTGGGCTGTGGAAAACAAGCAGCAGCCAGGACGCAGCACCAGCTGATACTCAAACTCTAGACCTGAAGATGCTCACCTTGCTACAGACTGTGCTTCTGGGTAGCGACCCAATAATGCTAAACATTCAGCCTTGAGGATTTTGAATCGGTGACAAGCAGGAGCAAACTCCAAAGCACGATCCATGCAAAATACAACCTGGTGTGAGAAAAAACACAAATATAAGCTAAGCAAATAGCCAAAGGCCTGGGCTGAAAGGCTGCACCATTACCACGCTTGAGATTACATGTTTGTCTTTGAACAGGAAGGTAAGCGTGCAGACACCCGTTTCCTCTGCTGCTGGAGGCATATTTCATTAGAAAATTTTCCTCACGTGCAGGTTTTTTTGTCCTGTCTTTTAAAGAGCCTTGCGTACAAAGGTCTGTGGCACCTGCTATGTTACTATAACATAGCACTACACAGAAAATCCAAGGGACACCTGTAGAAAGTCCATCCCTTTAACTCTTCTGAAATTGCAAGCCCTAAAGAAAAAGCCAAGGAAGACAATTCTGCCCCTGTTTCCCACATTATAAAGACACATGGGAAGGACAGAAGTTCAATAGATTGAGACGGTTTGGACTGGACAAAACACAAAAAAGTACAGTGCAGGGACTGATCTTACACTGGTCTTACTGCAATGGACAGGGTGATCTAATGGGTCTTTTCCTTCTCTGCCTCGCTGGTGGGGACATCTGCACGAGAACAGGGTCATTGTTCCACCAAGGTTCATCTGCCTCCCCGGCCCGTGACATCACGATTGACTGCTGTGGGAAGCACTGTGCTCCACACTAAGAAGCCAACGGCTTCTGGGTGAAGAAGGAGCAAGAGCAGCTCTCCAGAAACAAAGATGACATTTCACGCAGGCCTCCCCCAGTGAAGCGAGACAGAAGTAGTGAAGGGACAGATGCAAAAGCCCAGAACATGCAATACAGGCAGGGCAATTCCTACACACAAGATCCTGATTGACCATCCATCTCATTTGCTCCTTATAACCAGGTGATACAAAGCTGGGATTCACCCTTCCCAAATCTTGAGCTCACCCTAAGAGTCAGTGATCTGAACAATGAGCTTAATGTGCTGGACAATCTCCTTTCTGGGCCAAACTTGGGCCTTACATGCATCCACTGAACAGAAACAGTTGCATGCGAAGCCTTTGGTGCCTTTCAGATTTCATACTGTCATTTCTTGTTATATCAGGTCAGTACCAGCTGCATCCTGTTACAGCCCTTGGGAAGAAAGATTTGGAAACAGTAATGGAGAATGCCCCACGCAGATCTGCATTCCTCCTTCAATTACCCTCACTATAATACTGGCAGACAGACAGACTGCTTTTTTTTTTTTGTAATTAAAGAGTTGAGAAAGAATCCTGGATATGCATTTTAGGAGCAAAGCATGATCAAATGCTGCTGCTGACAAAATCTGTATCAAACAGCTCATTCATGGCTCCACTCACCCTGCGAAGCAAACAGTAACAGAGGATATTCAGCCTGAGCCAGTCACCCTCTTCACTTTTCATTCTTTCAGTGCTAAGAGAGCACGAGCTCTGCCATTTTCACAACCATTACACAGTTCACAAGACAACCCTGCTTCAACAGCAAAAGTATATTGTACAGCACCTCCCATTAGGACCCAGCTAACACACTAGCCAGGGAAACCAGACATGCACCTGGCTGTACTGGACAGGTAAAACGCGTCAGTTGATAATGCTACAGAAAACAATCAAGTTAATCTTACCTTCCTGAAATCCCGCTTCTCAAAATCCACTTCAGCTATTTTTTCATACTCAAGCACAGTACTGGCATTCTTCAGCTGAAAGACAGGAGAGCACAGCAAGTGTTGCAGGACAGGCACTGCTCTGAAACACCACCATGCAGAATTTAAGCAGCCAATCCCTAAAGTGTCAGAGCAAAGAGTATTGCAGACCATGGAACAATAATGCAGATTACATGAATACTTTTGTCAGCATTAAAATCAGTTTGAAATCAAGTGACCTAACTGGTAGCCCAGGAACACGTACCCCTGTGAATGAGACAGAAAAGAGGCAGTAGCCTTCTACATGCTGCATCACCCATTTCTGCACTTGCTCCCTTACCACCATTCACCACTCCTCTGGAGTGCTGGGTGAAAGACCAGCTTAGCCTCCGTGCTCTTCTGCTAAGAGGAGACAACCACACACAAAAGTAACTCACAACCCGAGGGTCTACTGAAAAACATACAGAATTTGACAGCATCTCATTTTTTCCTCATCATTTCACAGCATGTAAACAGTCATTACCAACGATGACTGTGATTCCACCTTGCAAATCCATAGCAAAAGGCTTACCAGTTCAATCCACTCCCTTTGGCAGCCCCATCTACTGGGAACATTTAAATTTCAAGAACCTCTTACCTCTTGCTGTGCCTGGGTATTTTTATGATCCAGTTCTAAAACTCGTTGAAAGCAGCGGCTGGCAGCCATGGCATTCCCTAGGGAAAGATGGCACTTCCCTTCCCGTAGATGGCCCTGAGAAGACAGTTAAAAGGGAGTTGCAGTAGCTGGAGACAAGGGTATCGAGACATGAGTAGCAAGTAGGAACTTTTCCACGTACCCTTACAAAGCTATCATCCAGTCTGACAGACTGCTGAGCATCTCCCAGTGCTTCTCGGAATCTCCCCAACATCATGAGTGTGGCAGCTCTGTTACCATAATAACTGGCATTATTAGGACAGGTATCTGGAGAAGATGTAAGAGCACTCTCCATTAGTGCGATGCAAGCAGCTATACAACTTGTAGAACATATTGGTAAGTCATGCTTGGATTAAAACCTCACATTCCTTTCCACTGTGTAAGGTCACCTGAGTGGCTTAAGATGACGCATGATGGTCAAGCAGCTGTTTTCAACAGCGAGCCATAAAGCTATTGCTCCCCACACTATTCACAGGAATAAACTCATATAGAACACGAGTTTGCAGTGTGCAGCCTGCTGACCCTGCATTAGAGGGAAAGCTGGACCGGTTTCTCGTTAAGAATATCTTGGCTGAAGGAGAAAAAGAACTGCTGCAGTCACCCACACTGGCACTGACTTGCATGATCAATCTGGTGAAATTTCACAAGGTAATTAAAGCAAAAAGTTTCCAACCAGCATGTGCTGTTAGAAACCCTGCTGGTATATTTTCAATCAACTACCAGCTTTGATTTTTAGATGTGGTACTCGGAGATTATTATTATAAACTGTTCTCACCTATGGCTTTTGTATAATAGTTGTACGCTTCATTGTAATCTTTCTTGGCATAGTATGCGTTTCCTTGTTCCTTGAATGATTCTGCTTCTCTGAAAGGAAGCAAAACACCACATTTTAAGAGGAATTGAGCACCAGAACAGATTCTGAGCACAACCAAGCATTCGATCCCCAAGCAACCTTAGTATAACTCTTCAGTGTTCCAAAATGCTTGTAGCTATTTGCTGTGAGATTTCCTCTGCATACGCTGTCCGTGAGAAAACAGCACACACCATGTCCTGCCGGCGCTCAGATACTTCACCACTTTACCAGGGCTGTGAACAGGGATGCTCAGGGCTGTTACCTGGCTGAATATTACAGGAATGCAAGAGCCAACTAAAGCCACCTTTGAGTACCCTCCCTTCAGTCTCAGATGCACTGGCTTAGTCCAGCAAAACTCCACTGTACGTGGTTAATAACCAGCCTGCTCCTGTGAGATGCTGCATAACCTCAGCAGTCACTGAAGTCACGAAACAGAGTGCTGTCTATCTTTCAGAAGTAGTCCCACATACTTAAAACAAGGCCAAGAACAATTTCCACATTCAAAAGACAGCTAAATCAAAGAGAAATAAGGGTACAAGCCTTGAGTAGAAGCTTGGCACTGCCTTGGCAACAGGTCCAGAAATAGTCCTCACACTCAAGAGCAAGCATTTGCAGAAACAGTTTAGGACATTTAGAAACACACAACATATGGTTTAAAGCAGCATCCCTTAAACTCTTGAAAGCAGTTTCCCCTGAAGGAAATTAAACCCTTCTCTCTCTTCTCCCATCTACCTTCACCATTTTAGATAAGCAGTCTGAGAGGGAACTTGTATCACGGTGTTGAAATTGAATTCAGCGATTTAGTTTGCTTGCTTCCCCCTCCTAGACTGTTTAACATGTAAAAACTACAAGGCCAACCCAAAAGAAGCATCATCCCACTCTAAGATACAGCAGTCAAGACTTGCATCTTGCTTTTGGGACTTCACTGCTGTAGCCAGAGACACAGACACTGTTTGTCCACTCTCCAAAGTACTTGCACAACCAGAGCTCTGGCCCCAGACAAAGACAAATTCTAACCATCAGAACAAAGACCAGCTCAGACTCCATCCTTCTTGTCCCACCAGGGACGCGGCCAGCATATCCACCAGCCCCAGCTACTCTCTCCTTCAACAACTAGCAAGGTCCTCCCCGAGCAGCCCAGCCATGGGGATCACCTGTGCCAGGGAAATGACCATATCACAAGCAGTACAGATGGAGTTGATTATTGCAGGTCATCGTACGCCTCTTGGGTGACTACCAACTGATCTGAACACAGCCTTTGCTGAAGCAACGAAGCAGAAGCCAAGGAAGCTAAAATAGCTGGGTGACCCCCCAGTCTGCCAGAGCAGAGTGGCACTTGCAGGCTCAAACACGGGTCACTTCCAGGCTGTGCTGCAACGCTGGGCTTCAGCATTTTCTTGAAAGGAGGATCCAGAAGTAAAGGTGTCTCTTTGCACCATCTGCTGCAGGAAAGCTATTTACAGGGAAACCCAAGGTAAACAAAAGCAAGCCAAATCAGAGAACACAGGACTACAGAGTGAAGAGTCATAGGACTTTCTACATACAAATACCTCCATCCAACGCCACAGTAAGCCCGAGCTGTTCAACTGCTCTTGAAGCTGAGCTTCATTTCTGTAACTGGCAACACTACTGTGACAGGCCTGAGCCAGAGCCAGTCTTCAGGCTAGCGGATACTACAAACACAGAGATAATCTCACCTTTCAAAATTTAGGCTCATCTATCACAGAAAGTACAATGCAAGTGATTCACTTCTATGCTTCTATACACCCTTACAAAATTCTCAAAAATTAGATGCAGCTTTGGGCATGCTACAGGACTGGGTTTTACCCAGAGGAAGCAAAGACTTTTGTCTTTCACAAATTACATTATTAATAAACCTAACAGGATACAAGTTGACTGTCTTCACTGAGGGCTGTAGCTACAACCCATTCAAAGCTTGGAAAAGGTGCTCTTACTATAGAGGACGTACTGTTAGAATGTACCACAGTGAGAAGCCTCTTTCAGTATATAAAATAAAAACAGCAGGGAAGACTGCTGCCTAGTCACCCATTTTAGCAAGCTGCCGAATCCAAGACCCAAGGGTGCTGAGCAGAACTGGCAAGAGTTGACCACCACTTCGTGTTTTTATTTTGGAAGCACCTAGAGATCAGATCCTTATGCAAAAAATGCATTTATGTACCAGAAGCTGCCCTCCCAGGACGGACTGAACTCGAGCTGCAGCGTCCTCGCCAAGGGGGGAGCGCAGGCAGAGCCCCCCAGCGCTCCCAGGGCACATCTTGGCAAAGGCAGAGCAGGAGCTGAAGCGGGGAGGAGGGACCCACCAGTGAAGGAGAGCAATGTTCTGCAAGCCTACTAGGAGAAGAACAAAGGGAATTGTGTTGAAACAAGTTCACATGTTTTTAACCTCAGTCAGGCTTGCCATTGGCCATTCCCACACAACCGCCTCATGCAAAGGGTTGTTTTCACTGAACCATCACAGTTTTGCCAGCTGGCAAAACAATAGACACAGGGAGCTGCCACGCTGAGGGCCGCCGGCCGCCGCCCAAGCGTGCGCTCTTCACTTGCAGTTTTAACTTTTGCTATCGGCTACACTCTGGCAATGGACCAGGCGCACCCCTACTGCAACTGCTGAAATCAAGCAAACCCGGGGACACACAACCACAGTGCTGTAATCATTTGAAATAAGATGAAAAGGTAACAGAGGGGCAAAGAAATGGGTCGGCGCACGCACCCCAGTGCCTCGGAGGGGCCCTGTCACGGCTCCCGCGTTCAGCTCATCCCCCCTGCACCCGCTCCAGCGGACGACGAACTCGCCCATCCGAGATGGGAACCTGCCACTCCAGCCTCCCCACCAGCACGCCCAGGGCACGTGCTTGTTCCTCGGAAGCCAACACACTGCCAGGCCCTGACAGCGGTGCGGCACCCCTCGTGCTCCTCCCTCCCCAGGGCCACAAGATCTAGAAATGATTATGTGCCTGTTGGATGGAGCTGTGTCACAAGCGGCAGGACTCATACTGTGCATGATTAAAAATGTGTCCGCACACAACCACCTTTTTTGAATATTACAGATCACTCAAAATGCTGTGAAAAAACTAATCAGCAACTCTACACTTCTGGAACCTTGGCAGTAAGCAGTTTAACCAAAACTTTATTCTCTTGCTTTTGCAATCCTAAGTGGAAAAGAAAATCACAGATCCTATTAAAGTTCCTTCTCACAGAAGCTCTCTGTCAGATAGTCTACAGAAAAGGGTGAACTGTACTAATGGCAGAACTCATCTGAGCCACCACTGTAACCTGCTTAGCACACCAGTCCCTGATTCACAAGCCTTTTAGCAATTTTACCTGTCACGTTATAAGGAAGCATTGTCTAATAGATACAGCTAAAGGGCTGAGTGCCAGAGTATCCTGTCTGCCAACAAGCTGCTGGGAAGAGCTGGGAAAACAGGAGAAAGAAAACAGATACATGGCAAAATCAACTTTCACAAAGCACCGGTATTCTGAGATGCTAGAGAAAACACACAAGCACAAGAATTATGGTTTTCTACTCAATTTATTGGTCTGTTTTCCTTTTAAGCATTTACTTTAACACAGATTGATATAGCAACAAGTCACAGCATCTCAGATAACACTAGTGAAAAGGAAGTACACAGGTACTTCTGTTGCTTACATGGCTTAAAGCTTAGTAATGAAAAATGATTGTGAAAAGAAAAGCAAATTGCCCCCAAAGCAGGAAGGCAAAGACAGTTGCTGGAAACGCAAGGTCTGTGGTCTGAGATCCTAGACACAGAACAGAAGCATCTCTCCCCAGTTGTGCTCCACTGACATAGAAAGCACACAGGGAAAACGGTTCTTGTTTACCACGGTCTCTGGCTATAACAAGAAAAAAAATGCAGATCTCCTGATATCACTGGTAATTGTTTCAATCCAAACAGATGCTGCAGCCTGAATGAGATCATTCTGCATCTCACACTGATGTAGGCTGCATTCCCCACTTGCTACTTTTGAAACTGAAGAAGAATCGTGCTTTGCTAAAAATACAATCCAGGCTGAATGGATTGCTTTGTGAGGGGACGTCAGCGTCTTCTCAGGGCCTCTCCATGCTGGGCACAGAAGACAGGGAAGAGTTGCACCGAGGATCTTAGGAAGAAGCTTGTCTTTCATTGCTTGTGTGTACTACAGGCTCACAAGGAGGGAAGTGTTTGGAGTAACTCTCTCCCTGCGAGCTAGTCAATTTTTTTTTTCTCTTTTCTAACATTTGGCAAGACCCTTAATTCTTCAAGCGCTCCAGCCCCTGCCACCCCAGAGGACCTGCCACCATGGCACGCAGCAGCCGCCCGTCCTGGTGCTCTCTTGCACACCCAGGGGCTCAGGGGCCGCAGGGCGAGGAGCTCGCTGCCATCGGCTCCTTCTAGTCCCCGTGCCCGGCTGGAAGCTCAGCCCCTGCTCGTTCCCAGAACAGAAGAGCCCTGAGAAGCAGCCGTCCCGCGCACCAGTGACACAATCCCACGTTTGCCTAACAACTTCTGCCTCCTCCTCAGAGCTTCCACACGCTGCCCCCGCTCGAGTGCCGATTGGGGCTTCCACCCCTCCGACTCCAGCTCCTAACGAGACAGATGCAGACCCACCTCGCAACACGCCTGATTTTCTACATTGTTGGAAACTCCGGGGACCTGTACAAACGGCACCTCCCATGTCTAGGTGTGCTGGCACAGACCCCCTGCGCACAGCCACCGGCACTCGAAGCAGTACAACCCACCTACAGAAATTCAGCACTTCAGCAGGCGGCAGACTTGCTCTCTCTCAGCTCTCTTGACCCTCACTCCTACTTCATTTCCTGCCTCCGTTATGAAACAGTGACAAAACCCCTAAAATATCTAGGATTTAAGGAAGGCTCCAAAAACTTGTCCTGGCCAAGCAATCTTTTTTGGGATGCTCTGACAAAAGAAACACACCTGCCTTTCCTAAGCAATTCCTGCAGAGACTTTCTCTTTATTAGGATACAGTGCCTTTATCAGGCATTTTTGGGGGTTGAAATCCAGTCCAGATTCTCAGCTGTCAGATGTTACTCAGCTGCTAGGGTAAAATAAGTTTGGTGATCTCAATACAGTTTACAGCAGGCAGATGTCTAGATCTTAAAATTAGCTGTCATATTTGCCACTGGACATACGATACCCCCTCTCCCTCCTTTCAGGACTCAAAGTGAAGCCAATCACTACGTGGGTCACACAGATACAGGGTATACTTCCCCATGCACTTCAGAGATCCTTCCTCCGGGTTAGGTTTTACACCGTGAGTGAGGATTTCGACTGAAGAGAATCTCTCTCTCTCTAATCTCCCATTAGTAGTGTTTGCGTTTTCTGTCCCTGGTGCAGAAAACACAGAATCATATATAACAGACACTGTGATCACCCTCTGCAGCTAGGCAGCATCACGCTGACCCTACTGCAGCAGGGACCAAGCTGAACGCAGAGCAGCACAGTACACACGCAACACATTGCTCTGCACATCAGCACCCCCCACTGAACAACGAGTGGGTTTACTACTAGCTGCAATACAGGAACAAAAATGACGACATTTACTCATGGCATGCCCCGAACCAGGGGAACCTTGAATCTGTACAGGCAAATATCTGAGTGGATAGTCAAAAGACTCACTCAGTGAAACATAAAAGCAAGGGTCTGCCTCCTATCTCTCCCAAGAGCAGACAACAGCAACAGTACTGACGTTTAATCCAGAAGGAGTGCAAATACCTCAAGCTATCCTCTACACACCCCCCAGAACATTCCCAATACCCAAGGACAAACTCAACACGGAAGACCAGAAGCTGTAAGAACCGAAACATGCCACAAGAAATCAAAGAAATGAACCAAACCTCTCCCTGAAGCTGTAAGTGGAAACAGCCAGACGAGCCCCAAACTTTAACTGTGCCGTTATGTAACACATCTCGCTCGCAGAGCTCCCTATTAACCTAATTCATGGCAATGGCCCGATCACTGCTGGCAGGGGCACATCATAGCTTCTGTGAAAACCCATGGAAGGGTCTAGAATCAGCTAGAGATTGCTTTTTTCCAGAGAGGCCTAAATGAAGGAAGTCAGCCAGCTGTAAGAATTACATGGTAAAACAACTGCATCTACAACATGATTCACCCTAAAAAAGCATGTCTCATGTTAAAGAAAATGGCTGGAATTGCAGGTCCCATCCATCTTTTCATACTGCATAAAGTGACTACCTCATTCAGAGTATTCAAATATCCTGCAAACGTATGGGAGAGCAAACAGCTATCCGAGCAGCTTCTGCTGCCCCTTGTATTATCACAAGATCATAAAGTAATTATATATTCATAAAATAGGCCAGATTTACAACCTAGAAAACTCAAGTACCCATTTACAAGCAGAACAGGAATAGAGGAACCTTCTTCAGGTCATCCTGGAACAATGCCTACCCACCAGTGGTGCCCTTCCAGTGGACCCAGCCCCCCGACTCCTGCCAGCTCTCCCCATGAAAGCGGCCCAGTAGCAACACTGACTGACCAGGAGCCTGACCAAGACCCAGCTCATTCCATGCAAAACAGCAGTGGAAGGACTCCTGCTACTCACCAACCTGGCAACCTCCAGGCAACATCTGTCAAACTAATTAGTGACCCAAAGTCAGGCAAGGTCTGACCCTTCTTGACTTCTGCACAATTTCCTTTGTGTGACAGATTTCACCTCCACTGCTTCACTGAGGTTAACTATTATTTCCTACAGGCACATCAACGCATCTGAAGTCCGCAGCAAAAGCACTGTAAAAACAACAGCCTAGGCAGCTCATTTCATAATGATATTTTCCAAACCATCTGAGATGCTTCTTTTTAAGAGGCTTCCACATCCTCCAGTGCTGAAGAATGAGGAGAAAGGTCCAGCCTTAAGCATGCACGTCAGAATCTAGAGCTGCCAGAAGATGACACAAAAATTCTCCCTGGCAAAACTCCAGTGACCCCAGGCTCACAGACCAGGTGGGCCCAGGGAAAAACTGTCCCCAAGGGTTAGAAACCTTTCAAATTAATTTTAAGAAGTGACTCTTTGGGGTGGACCAGTCCCTGACCACACCACAACTCAACCCTTGCTCAGCAGCTGCTCCCCAGCAGGGGAGCTGGCACTAACAGCACCACCACCCAGCAGATAAAATTAATACAATTACATCAACCTTTTTCCATAAGGACCCCCACAATTTATGCAGCAGCCAATAATTATCCTGTGACCACACTCTATTCCTGTCCCTTAAACAACCTCTGGGTGAGCCGTTTGGCATGTTTTCAGCTGTTTCAGTGCATCAGTTACCATCATTCCAAAATGCAGATCTCCACTTTTGCTCATTTCCTAAATTTTATTAAGCCACAGAGAACAGAATCATGCATTTCGACAAAGGTGAGTCCTTAGGCAAAGTATCTGTATGTTGTCATATTTTAATTCCTAAACGGAAGTATAGAACATGGAAACCCTTGATGCTGATTTATAACAATGATTCAGAAAAGGTTTTTACTTATTCTTGCTTGGTTTTTGTTTTTGTTTTTGTTATTTTTTTCTTTTTTATAAAAGCTAGGACAGACACATCATAAAGGCTGTACTAAATCAGATTCAAGTGCATGTTTGTGCATGCTTATTAATGTGGCATGCCTGCATAGCCCTTACATGGTTCAAGATGTTTTACAAACATGAGACACTTAATTAAGCAACTACTCTCCCTAATACAGTGACTATCACCCTAATTTACATTAGAACAAGCCACAGAAGTTAAACAACTAATGTAAGCAAGAAAGGCCAAAGCAGAGAAGAGGTTAATGCACAGGACTCCAAGAAAATCTGCCTGGGCTAGCAGAAAGGCATGAGTGTGTAAGGCCTGTGCTTTCTGTGCAAGCAAAAAGAATAACTGGAAGTAGAATAACCATCTCCTACCCACACGTTTCTCTTTTAGCAAGATAGAGGAGTAATATCCCAACAACAAAGGAAACATCATGAAAGCACCCAACAAAAGCACGGCATGGTAACAGCCACACACTATGGCACTGGCCTTATGACACCAAGAAAAACCCAGATGCGTGAGACCGCGTCTGTTCTTCACTGCTCAACCTTCCTCTCAGGGCAGCACAAGCACCGAATGCTGCCCACAAATTCTTCCATTTCTGTACCTGCTCAGCCTTGCTCGAGAAGATCATCCCAGTCATAACTGGTTTCCTGCACCCATCACTTTTGCAATGAAACTTGGGAAGGAGGAAGGAAGGGCAATATTAGAGGTCACTATCAGAAGACGACTGTGTCTTCAGCATGGTTTTTACATTTGGATATTGTTAACATTTCAAACACCGTATTTAATTAGCCTGGGGGAAGGAATGACTTACCTGTAAACAGGGCTTTCCCAACCTTACAGGCCATGCAATTTGTCAGAATTCTACACACAAATCCAAGTGCCTCTTCTGCAACATCTAATTTAACTCCTTAGAATGACATCACCAGGAAGCCAGCTCCTTCCCAGCACAGCTCCTTAAGCCTTCAATTTCTGACAGTAAACAAGCAGCATGAAACACCTCAGGCCATCAATATTATTTTGAAAATACTATTCCTCAGAGGCCACTTTCAGTTTTGTTTCCTCCTTTTAATTCCATCCACTGAATAATTTTCTAGAGCAACTGCTTCACCTTCTACAGAAATAGTTCTCTCCTCCCCAGTTCCCCAGGAGATAACGAACTGCCAGCATTAGATGCTGCAGAACCAGCGGAGTTTCCTAGACATTGGACCTTCCCACCTCACTGCCTGCAGAGACTGCAACGTTCAGCTGCTGCTGGGAACCACTCTCTCTCTCTCTCTCTCTCTCTCTCAGAAGAAGAAGAAGAAGAAGAAGAAGAAGAAGAAGAAGACGTGCAAGAAAGGTTGGGATTCCGACCACCCCCAGCCCCAGAGGACACTGTCTGCTCCCTGGGCAAGGTACACCATAGCAGTTTAGAAATAAACCAGTTACAACTTGAGGAAGCTCTTTAATTATGATAACATTTTCAGATCAGGAATCTGCCCTGATAATCTCCCTACAAGTGACACTTTTCCCAATATCCACAGCAAGGCGGGACAGAGTAGAAACTGCTGTGTGCAGACTTCAGCTTGTACCAGGGACAAGTGAATTGGGCATAACGAAGAAGAGAGCATGGATCTATGGGTCTGAAGCTTCCCTTCTGTACCAGAGTTTAGTATTTTCCTCCTCCTCATCCTCAGCGATGGGAGAAAGCTCTCTTCGGACACCAGCCCGTGTGGCCTCGAGACAGAAAGGATGTTAGTGATATTTCTAGGACACTCAAACTCCAGTTGACTGAAGACAGCCCGACTCCACTCCAGGGTGCACGTCCTGATCCTGGCACACCCGGAGGCCGGGAGGTCTCGCACGGGACGCCCAGCCAAGACATCCCGAAATAAAGCGTGACCCGGCAGCAAGCGCAGCCCCGGGCAGGACTGCGGCAGCAGCCAGCGCCTGCCCGCGGGACGAGCCCCGGCGAGAGGCCCTGGCCCCACAGCCGGCCCCGGCAGCGCCCTGCCCGGTGCGGCCCAGGCCGGGGGCTGCTGGCGGCCCGCTGGGCCCTGCCCGCCCCGGCGCTGACCCCCGCCGGAAAGGCCGGCCGAGCACCCGCGGCCGCCCCGCGCCGAGCCCCCGGGCCGGGCCGGGCCGCCCCGGCGCCCTCCCGCCGCCCGGCTCCCTCAGCCTTCCCCGCCCGCCCGCCGGGCCCCGGCCCCGGCAGCGCGGCCCGGCCCGGCCCTGCCCGCCGGCAGCGACACCGGCCGCCCCCGCGCCCGCCCGGCGGGGCGAGACCGGCCCGCGGCAGCCGCTCTACCTCCGCGTCTCCTCCTCGCTCTCGGGCTCGCCGGGTGCCTCGGGCGCCGCCATGATCACATCGCACTCGGCCGCCGCCGCCATCTTACCGCCGGGCCGGGCTGGGCACTGGCGGCGGGGCGGGCGCGGCACCGGAAGGGGCGGAGCTTCCGCTGGCAGCGGCGGCGGCGCGCGGGCCGGCGAGAGTGGCGCTGGGGCGGGGCGGGGCGGGGCGGGGCTCGGTCCGCCCGCCATGGGGGGGGCCGGGAACGGCCGGGGCAGGCGGCGGGGACACCGGGCAGGGACCCTCCCCGCCACGCCCCTCAGTCGCCGTCACCGCGGTCCGGGGGGGCCCGGCAGGCCCCGGTCCTCCCGCCCGCAGGGGGGCGCTGTGGGCCCGCCAGGCCTCGCCGCGCCCGTTCTGCCGCCGCCGCGCAGGCGAAGGCCCCGGCGGTCCCCGGGTGCTCCGGTCCCTCAGCGCTGCCCCGAGGGCTCCGCCCCGGTCCCGCAGGCTGAGGCCTGGGCCCGCTGTGGGCACGGCCGCGTCCCCCGCCCGGTAGCTGCGCGCTGCGCCTCCGGCGTCCCCTCAGGCCGCTGTCCCCGTCCCCGCCCGGGGGGGCGCGGCCCCCCGGCCCCCCGGCCCCCGCTGACAGCCGCGCTCCGCAGGCGGGTTCCCGCCGCGGCCCGCGGTGAGGCGGCATGGGGAAGAGCTGCAAGGTGGTTGTGTGCGGCCAGGCCTCCGTCGGGAAAACGTCGATCCTGGAGCAGCTTCTGTACGGGAACCATGTGGTGGGTGAGTGCGGGGGGAGCCTGGCAGGGGCCTGCGGGGGCAGCGGGAGGCAGAGACCCCGCACCGTGCCGGCGGTGGGGTGGACGAGGGACTCGCTGTCCGGACCCCTGTGCCGGTTGTGCCCTGGCCAGTGTCCCCATGTCTCCCTGCCCGCCTCTCTGGCAGGCTCCGAGATGATCGAGACCCAGGAGGACATTTACGTGGGCTCCATTGAGACAGACCGGGGCGTGCGCGAGCAGGTGCGCTTCTACGACACGCGGGGCCTGCGGGACGGCCTGGAGCTTCCCAAGCACTGCTTCTCCTGCACGGACGGCTACGTGCTGGTCTATAGCACTGACAGCAAGGAGTCCTTCAAGCGGGTGGAGCTCCTCAAGAAGGAGATTGACAAGTCCAAAGACAAGAAAGAGGTGAGCAGCCCCGGGGAAAGGGGGTGCGGAGTGGCATCTGCTCCCCTTCTTCACGTTTGCACCCAGAGACTCTCCTTTTCTCTAGCTTGTCACAAGACGGTGACGGGGTCCCTGTTCTGCAAGACTCTCAGTTGGAACTGGCTGCTGTCCTGCGATGCTCTCTGGGTGAACAAGTGCTCAAGAGGCCTTTCCACTTTGGGGCTGGTTTGAGACACACAGACCCAAACGGGAGGGAAACCTGCCCAAAGGGAGCACTGGGAGATGTGGTGTTTTAAAAGACCTTAGCACAGAGTGGGAATTAGCTGCAGGATTGGGCCTGGCACTGAGGATCTTCAAGGCAGAGCCAGGCAGCACCGTTCAGCTCTGCATTTGGTACCTTCAGGGATTCTTCTCACCCTTTTTTGAACAGGTCACCATCGTGGTTTTGGGCAACAAGTGTGACCTGCAGGAGCAGCGCCGGGTGGACCATGACGCAGCTCAGCACTGGGCCAAGGGCGAGAAGGTGAAGCTGTGGGAGGTGTCCGTGGCTGACCGGCATACGCTGATCGAGCCATTCATCTACCTGGCCAGTAAGATGACGCAGCCACAAAGCAAGTCTGCTTTTCCCCTGAGTCGCAAGAACAAGGGCAGCGGATCCGTGGATGGTTGAGCCTTGTTTTCCCTTCCCTTCCATTGCCACCTCCTCTTCCTCACCTCCCTATTTCCCTTGCTCATTCCTCCTGCTAAGCCTGGTTGGTGTCGTGAAGCCTGCAGGAAGCACAGTGGCACGAGGAACGGGTGTCCCAGAGCTGGGGATGGTCTTCGAGGATGAGAGAGGTGAGCCATCTCCTTGCACTGGGACAGGGACTGCTCTCACTGCCCGGCCCCTGCAGGTGTTGGAGGTGCTACAGGAAAGCCAGGATTCACTGGGTGACCCCTCTGCTCTCGGGGCGCAGGCTGGCAGACCCGGCACAGCTCGGGGCTGGCCAGCAGATGGGGATCAGCTCCGCAGCTGAGCACAGCCCAGCCAGAGGAAGCTCTTCCCTCTCCCTCGAGCTGCTCTGTTTTACATTTACCGATACCATGTGAGAACAGCCCATTTGCTGGCCCTGCCTCCCGCCCGGCCGCTGTCGGAGCAGCTCTCCCGTGTCCCACCCCAGCCGGCGCCGCAGTGTTCCCCAGCAGGTTGCCCCTGCCCTGGCAGTGCTCACTGCTCCTTCACGTGCAGAAATACTGAGTCATCCTGCCCCACTGAGTGCACGGAGCAGAGCAGGGCAAGATGCTGTTGCCGAGGGCAGGGTGCCCACACGCAGCCCTCCTCCTCCTGAGTGCAGACTCAGTCCTGACCTTGGAGAAGCTGGGACTGTGCTTAGCCTGCACACCCTGATGCTTAGAGCTGTGGCAGCGCTCGCTGCCCAGCTGTCACGGTGCTGACCCTCTGCTCAGAACCACCACGAGACAAGGGAAAGGTGTCCCAGTCCTGCCCAGCAGCACGTGTTCTCTTCAGCTAGTTGGATCTAGGAAAAAAAAAAAGTGACGAGAGAGCCCTGGCTTGTTTACACTTGTTCCTTTTATTTACTGAGTAACACAATAAAGCGATGAGATTCGATTATCAAAATATTTTCCTTTTTTTTTTTTTTTTCCCAACAGCTATAGTACATCAAAAAAATATACAATGGACATTACAGGAGGGGTACTGGCCAAGTCCCTAGAGTCTGTTTATTCCATTTTTGTGGGGTTTTTTTTGTTTTGTTTTTTTTTTGAATCAAACTGTTCACATCACTCCAAGGTTATTTACAGAGGGGCACACGTTATCGAGCACTATGGACTATGCCCTACTACCTAGTACAGCGTATGCTAAGTCAAAGGCAGTAAATGCTTTGGATAGCACAGGAGCAGGGGGCTCTGGAGGCGGGGGGGATGCGATAGAGGGAGCGTGTTCTTAACGCAGCTCGTTGCAGTATTATTGTTTTTTAGAAGGAATGGCTTTCAAGGGGTTAAAGTGCCAAGTGTAGGAGCGTGTGAGGACTCCACGTGTGACGGAGCAGCCGCTGCTGGCTCCAGCACAGGTTGTTTTAGAACAAAATGCAGGGCAACGACCCAGCAGTGCCAGGCGGCCGCCGGTGGCGGGTGCCCGCGCTCCTGCGGCTGGCGGGCACGGCGCGGGAGGGGACGCTGCCGGGGCTGGCACCGGGAGGCACCGGCGAGGCGGCGGGGGGACGAGCGCGGGGAGGGGAGCCGGGGGAGGGCTGGAGCCGGGCTGACCAGGGGCTGCTTGGCACCGCGCTGCTGCCGCGGAGCTGCGGGCCCCAGCCAGCGCAGGCTCCTGGCCTGGGGGACATGGGGTCCCCTGGGCTGGGGGGGGCCACTTGGCTGTCCCTGCTGCCGGAGCTGCGGGCCCCAGCCAGCGCAGGCTCCTGGCCTGGGGGACATGGGGTCCCCTGGGCTGGGGGGGCCACTTGGCTGTGCCTGCCAAAGCCGCTGCCACTGGGAGCCTTCCTTCCCTCAGCTGCTCTCCAGGCCACATCTCCCACCACCACTGTAAGACCTTCCGGTTGTCTCTACCCCCCCAGCATGAGCTCACTCGTCTCCTGGTGTGCTCTCTCCGCTTCCCCCCGCCCCGGGGTGCAGAGGGGGTGCCCTGAGCAGACGAATTCGCACCCAGAGGCTCCCTCGCACCCCTGTCCTCCACGGCAGGAGCGCGGCGGCAGCACCGCAGGTCAACGCTGCCCACGGCGCGAGAAACGGGCCCTCCAGGCTCCACGCTGCCCCGCTCCCGCTGAGCCGAGCGGGCTCCCTGCCCTGGCCCGAGGCTCCAGCTCCTCCCGCCAGCTCCGGGGAGCAGAAGCATTGCAGCCACGCGAGTTACCCGGACGCTGTCCTGAGCATCGGTGGAGCGCGCTGGGCAAAATCCTCCGGCGATCCAGGCGTTGCTGAGTGTGCTTGTGCGTGTGGCTTCCCAGGTGCACAAACCGACCCGCCTCCTCCCCAGGGCCGGGAGGAACGCGGGCTGCAGCACAGGTCTCGGAGCCGGCGCCTGGGGCCGGGGGCAGGAGGGGAATCACCTACACAGGGCTAAGTGTTGCGCTGTTTCTTTCTCCTCCGACCACCTCTCCTGGCTGTACGGACAGCATGAGCACCAAAGTAAAACGCAGACAGCAAATGCGGCGGGTGAGCTGCTCCCCCTGGATTGCATAGATCGCGGTGGGTCGCCACTCCAGCGTAAGGTCCATTTGGGTTGCGACTCTCCTGCATATTCCTATTTACAGCAGCGTGCTGGGAACCTGGAGTGCCGTGGTGACAGTTTTCAGACCCGGCCATCTCCGGGCTTTCTGAGCACAGTGACAAGCAGAGCTACGGCTCCGGGGTCCCCCTGGAGCCCAGCTTTCTGCAGGCGACAACGGGAGCATCACAGGGAAAGCGCCAGGCGTAGGCTGTGGGTGCCGCCTGCTCCTTTGTACCTGATTGTCCGGGCTGCTGGGGACACCTTTGTTTTCGGGAATCTTCAGTAAACTCCCTGGAAGCTCCTAAGGGGGATGGGGTTGGAGGGCCGGGCACGGCGGCTGGCTGGCGGGCGAGCAGCAGCATCGCCTTTCACCGGTGAACCGAAAGTGCTTTAGGGACATTCACTCAGCCTCACAGCATCTCCCGGGAGGTAGGGGCAGGGCTGTCCCCCGCCGGAGGGACAGAGGCAAACAGCTGGCGCCGAGCACGGGGTCACCTCCCGGGTGGGACCGGGCCAGCTGGGCTGGAGCGGAGCCCGTCCCCGCTGTGTGCTTCGCGGGGGCCGGGGCAGGGGCACTGTGCTTTCGGGGCGGGGAGGCGCCGGCCCTGAGCTTCGACTATTGCTCTCGGAGTGAAGATACGGTCAGCGTGGCCGGTGCCCGCCGCGGCGGGGGCTCTTTGGCTGGCGGGACGTAGGGGGTTGCGGGGCGCAGGGGGCTGGTGGGCAGCACAGAAACCCCCGGCCAGCACAGGCGAGTGCGGGGCTGGCGATGGCACCGCCAGCCGGGTCGGAGAGGGGAACTGCCAACTTCCCGCTTGTGCCGGGGTCATTCCTCCCAGGAAGAGCTGGGCTGAGGCTCCTCTCGCAGTTCCCTTCCCGCGGGGCTGGCAGGGACCAGCTGGCCAGAGGGATGCTCCTTCCCCCAGGGACCAGCCGGCTCCTCTTCTTCCAGTCTTGTAACTGGGAGGGGGACGGACAAGAAGCCAGCAGGCAGCCCCTGGCCACGAGATGGTCCTGGTGACTCGGGCGCTCCCGGGTGCCACCCAGCTGTGTGACGGGCTCCTGCTGAGCGCGGGGCCGGCGCGGAGAGCGGCGGGGCTGCACGGCGGGGCTGGCCGGGCTCTGCTGGGGAACCTCGCTCCAGGAGGAGCCCGCTCGAAGCGAAGGAGAAGCCGGGGCGGATGTCTACGACTACGGGTTGCCACCAGCCCGAAGAGCAGCCGGCGCCACGCAGCCCCCGCGGCACAGCCTGGTCCGTGGCGGGCGAGCGGCTCTAGTAGGGCGCGAAGACGATGGGGCCCGGCGTGGCGCGGACGTGGGCCGGCGGCGTTCGGAACAGGGCTGGTCCGAGGATCGGGGCTTGGAAGAGGGTGGTGGCCGCGGCTGGGCGCAGGGCGAGGGGGCCGGGCATGGCGCAGACGGCGGCCGCGGTGAGCGGGCTCGGCAGGAAGCGGGTCGCCAGGGTTTTGGTGAGATGCTTCTGCAAAGCCAGCTTGGACTGCGGGGAGCGAGGAGGAGACACCGTGAGGCCCCCGGCTGCAGGAGAGCCCCCAGCCCCAGCTCCCCGGGGCCACACAGCCGGCCCCGCAGCAGCCCCCGCCCACGTTCGCTTTCAGCGGAGCGCGCAGCACATCTCTCGGTAAGCGCAGCCCCTGGTCCCGTCCCGCAGCCCCGCTCCCCCGGGCCGAGCACGCAGGGCTGCCCCAGTCGCGACCTCCCCAGGGAGATCTTCACCCCACCACGCTGGCCCAGAGACCTGCCCTGGCTTTTGCAACGGCTCTTCCCTGCCCCAGTGCTTTCCTCTGGTGCCCTGGGATGACTTCTGCCGCCCAATTCTCTGCTAAGCTGTGCGTCTCCCCAAGCAAACGCTCAGGCTTGGTCTAACTGAGCCGCGGTAGCCCCGCCAGCCCCAAGCACCCGACCCCCGCGCACCGTCACAGCTCTCCCATTCAGAAAACACAAAACAAGTGGAAGAATCGCGAGTGCTGCAGCTGCGAATGCTGCTGCCAGAGGACTCACAAGTTACTCCCGTGCTTCCCTTCACGTGAATTAAGACTTAAAACTCCTCTCACCACTACAGCCTGGCCCCTGCAAGGGGAGCAGCTCAGGCGTGCTCACGGGAACCGAGGCTTTAAGAGCAGCCCCTGTGTCTCTTATTGCAAGAGGTGGCCAACACGGCGAACGATGTTTGGGAGAGCAAAGCGGGCGGGTAATTTGGAGGGAGACAGGTACCTTGAGAATACTCACTGCGAGGGCAGCGTTCTTCTGCAGCTTGTTGTAGGGGCTGTACTTGGGCTTGGGCGGCTTCCCTGCCAGCCTGTCTTTGTGCCTCCGGCTGCTCATGTGCTGGGAGAGGAAAACAGCCGGATCACCCGGAGCCAGGCGGCACCGCGCGCCTCGGGCTCATGGGGGACACCCACCGCCTACTTGCGGGGGGCTGCCCGGGACCCACCCCCACGCCCCAGTGCCCGGGCAGAGGGGTCTGCACCCCCGCGCCCCTGCGCTGGCACGGCCGGGCCTGGCATCCTCACCTGTTTGAGCTGGGTCTCCGAGTTCACGTAGATCTCGCACACCTGGCAGTGAAACGCCTTGTTCTGGATGTTGATGCTGCCCTTGTTGCCGATCCGCTTGGACTTGTGCCCGGCCCGGGAGAGGAGCTTGCCTCGGCCTCGCCGCACCTGGGTGCTGTGACCTTCCAGCATCGACTTGTGCTTGGCGCCTGGGTGGCAGAGGGGACGCCCAGCAAACGCTGACTTTGCAAACAGCGCCAGCGCTGTGCCGAGCGCTGCGGCGGCAGAAGGATGCCCCCCCAAGCAACCCGCCCAGCAGTGCTGCGCGTCCCTCCCTCCCCTGGGACCCCCGTCCCCCCCACCGACCCCTGCCCGGGAGCAATTGCAGGCAGAGGGGACAGGGAGCTGCCCGGGAGCCCGGACTCTTGCTGGGGGTGCAGCAGCCCGTCCCCAAACCCTGGCAGGCTCGCGGAGCCAGCTGCGCTTCGCAAGCAGACCAGAAATGTTCAGCTTCCCGGAGACCCCCCCCCCACCATGTGCCAGACCTTCGGAGGAACTGCTATTTTAAGCGGGAGCTGGAGCCTGTCGCCTGTCCCCGGGCGTGCGCGCAGCCTGCAGAGCCGGGCACGCGTCGCCCGCCGTGCTGCAGCATCTGAGCTGCGCCCAAGGTCAGAGAGGATCCGGCCGCAGAGCCAGGAATAGCTCGGCGGGGTCACAGGAGCAGGGAAGGAGGAACCCGAAATCCCCACACACCTGGGGACAGGGCGCTCTGTCCTGCCCCTGCCAGTGCTGGGGTGCCAGGGTGGGGGTGGACAAGTAATTTAAGCCACCACTAACTCATTCTGTTTTTTAAGGTGTTAGGCAAGGAGCTCCAGTCCATGTGCCAGTCACGGAGGAGCGCAAGCCTGCAAATGTCTGTTTGTTTGTTCTTTTTCCCCAAATCAGCTCCTAAATTTATAACCGGAGCTGACAAAAGCGAAAGGACATGTTTGCAGCTAAGGCGCAGCAGTGTCCTGAGCTGACCCCGGTGCCCGGCTGCTGCCGCTGCCCCAGTGGGCAGATGGGACTGGGGAAACTGGTTCCCAGTTCTTGCTGAACTGGGGGAGAAAAGGGCCTTCCCCGTAAAACCAGTGTGCCCATCCCTGTTCAGCATCCTCCAGAGAAAGGGGGGAGCCGGGAGCTGGTGCTGCAGGGCCCGCAGACCCCGGTGGGGGTCCAGCCGCCCCCCTCCCCTCCAGCCACCCCCAGGCTGCGGGGGATCCCTCGGCAGCCCCGGACGCCTGCCTGCCCCGGGGGGGCTGCTGGGCACAGCCCCTGAGCCAGCGCGCGCTCCTGCGTTCCGAAGCGCGTTAGATTCCCAAGGAGCTTCTCAAAAGCACCAGGAGCCCGACACCGCGCCGGGCAGGATCGGCCCGGGGCTGGAAGAGGCTCTGGCACACAGGCTGCCACCAGCATAAAGCCAAACTGCAGTGGACTGTAAAGCCGCCTTCAATTACTTGATTAAACGTATCTGAAAACGCCTTTAATTAGGAGATACGAACACTATGAGAACATCTGACCTTGCTAAAATTCACTCCATAAGCTGCAGCACGGGTAAAACACCACCACTTATCTTTGCAAGCCACCTTCATTAACCCGTTTTGATTAAAGCAACGTTCATTAACGCTCGCCCTTCCCCTGCAAGGCTGTTTGGTGCTGGGGCACGGCGGGGCTTCGCACGGAGCCCCGGAGGGAGCTGCCAGGGGCCTGTCGCCCCGTCCCGCCGCGCGGGCGATGCCCTTACCGGTGTTGTGAGCCTCCAGCTGGGACAGGGAGTTGACGGTCACTTTGCAGGTGGGACAGTACAGGTGCTGCTTGCTCTTCTTCCCCTCCTTCTCGCTCTCGGGGGCCGAGCTGACGCTGCTGCCCGACTCGGCTGCCTGCGCCTCAGCCGCCTGCGCGGCCGAGGAGGAGCTGGTGGCATCCGAGGTGCCCTCCGACAGCTCCGAGCCCGGCGGGGAGCCGAGCGGGGCGGCGCTGCCCGGCAGCTCCGCGGGCGACTCCTCGGGGCCCGGCGTCGGCCCCAGGCTGCTGCACTCGCCCGCCGGCTCCTGCAGGACGTTGGCTTGAGCTGGCGGGAGGGAAAGCAAAGGGGGAAAAGGGAAAGAACAGAAAGAAACGGGCAGAAAGGGGAAGTTCTCTGTGCTTGAATGGGTTTTCTGGATTCCGGAGAGCACCCCCATCCTCCCCAAGACCATCTCGGGCACCGTCTGCTGGCCTTCATCCCTGCCAAGGATGGCTCTTCCCAAGGTCTCTCCCATCACCGCTTTCACCTGCGGCTCGCGGCAGCCAGGCTCAGCGCAAGAGCCCGGGTGAGCTCTGCCTCGGGAGGATCTGGCTCCCACCAGCCCCATCCCCGCGCGGCAGCAGAGCCCGGGGGACGTGGGAGCCCTCACTGGGGCACGGGCGGGGAACGCTCCCCCGCCTGCAGCCGTTCAAAACATCTCCCAGATCACAGGGGAAACACCCACCATTCCCCCCCCCCCGCAGGGGACACGCAGGGGCCAGGATCCCCCCCCCCAGACCCCGGCTGGATTCCCACCCCTTCCCCGTGACGCCGCGCCCAGCCAGGCACGCCAGCGGAGCACAAAAGCTCATTTATTAACGCTCGCGGCGGCATCTGTGCCGCGGTAATCGCGGCCCTCCTCAGCCCCACCAGCAGCTGGCTGCGGGGGGATGCTCAGACACGAGGCTGCCGCGGTTCAGGATTTAATCGGGCCCCCCGGGCAGCTGCGGCCACGGCCGGGCTGGGGACACCAACGCCGCTGCGCTGCCGGGAACGGGCCGGGGTCGCTCCCCGCGGTGCCACGGGCAGCCGGCGCGGGACCCCCCGCCCCCCCCCCCGCGTTACCTGTGCTGCCGGGCTCCCCGCTGCCCTCGGGGCTGGGGGCGAAGTCGGCGGCGCCGTCCCGGCCGGTGGCCCCCGCCACGGCCCCCATCGCCTTCTGCTTGTTCTTCATGGCCTCGATGGCTTTCAGCCTCCGCGCGTGCTTGTGGCCCTTGTAGTGGGCTTCTGCCTGGTTCTGGGGAGGGAGAGACGGGGACGGCCGCGTCGGTGCTGCGGCCGGACAGATGGACGGACAGGGGGAGGACGGGTGAAGGGGTCAGCCTGGGGCCGGGGCCACTCAGACACGTTTCCAGTGCAGCCACCTCCCCGGTGACAATCACCGCCTCGGAGGTGGTATTTTTAGCTGGGTGTAGCACAAAGCTGCTTTCCTCCTCCCGCCAGATCGCTCTGCACACAAATGTATTCGGGCTGAGGTATCACTTTGCTAAGACATCACCGCATTGCACGGCCGAGATAAGGACCCTGCTCTGATTAAATGCATCAAGTCACTTTTAAAAGAAGCTTTCAGGCAAAATTTATGACTTCAGAAACGTACAATGAATTGCTAGCTGTAAAAATAAAATAAGAAAGTACATTGGTGGGGAGGACACGTCTCCCATTGTAACCTAACGGGTGTCTAACATGCAATTTACATTCACGGGCTCCTTTCTCCCCGCAAACGCTGAATAATGAAGTGCACGTTGATGGGTTCAAGCCTGCACCAAATTGATAAAAACATACACAAAGGAAAATCACCCGAACGTTTGTGTACTCCGCAGTCAGGGACAATGCCGCATTGTCCCCCGAAACAACCACAGATTAGCAATTTATTGAAAGGAAATCCACTACGAATTAAGACGCTGTACCACTGAGTAGCACGGATTAATTTGCACGGCGCTCTCCAGGGCCGGCTGAGGCTTCCCGTGCTCGGTAGGAAGAAGCATCCCTCCCCCCCCGCGGCATTCCAGGGGCTGGGAATGGTGTCGGGGGGTGCAGCCGCGGCCGGGTACGGGGGGAAAGCGAAAGGCCCATCCGAGCGCGGGGCCTCATTAGCAAATGCAATAAACTCCCGCCAGATAACGGGGCCGGGCTGCAGCCTAAGTAGGTCACGGCCGCCGCTCTGCGCAGAAATACAGGCGGCGTGCGAGGGTCTGCGCCGCGACGTGCTCCCCCGCAGACGCGACCGGGGGGGGGGACACGGGGGGGGGGGCGAGCGGCACCGGGAGCGCGTGGTGGGACCCACTCGCCTGGCCCTGCTCTTCCAGCCGGGGCGCAGCGTGGCATGGGGAAGCGGCGCTTTTCTCCGAGCCGCGCGGCTGCGGAGCAGCATAAAGGCCAGAAACGCTGACTTTTGCCGTCAGAGCCGCCCGGGCTCGCAGGGCTGCGAGCGGGGCCGGCCCAGGCCGAGGGCTCCGAGCGGCTCCGCTCCCAGCCCCGCTCCATCCCTCTTCTGCCTCGAGCAAGAGCTCCCTTTCAAACCTTTTAATCAGTCTGCCCCACAAAAGACGAGCTGCGCTCAGTTCGTTACTGCGGGGATCAATGAATGTTTCCTTCCTCCCCTCTACGAGGTCGCTGATTTACTTAGAATAAAAGGCAGGGAAAAAACCCACCTGCCACACCAGAGCCCTGGGAAGCCAAGGCAGGGAACGTCGTACCCGGGTCCCAACGACCGATTGCACGGGCTGAAAAAGCAGCTTAAGCGCAAACACCGAGACCAAGGCGGCAGGGAACAGGCCTGACCTAATCGAGGAGGAGCAGATGGAGCCGGCGTGGCAAAGAGCGGGCACGGCAGCGCCGGGGGCACCCGGGGCCCCGGGCAGGGAGGTGTCGGTGGAAACGTCACCGGGGCAGCCGCAGAGCGAGGGCGGGCAGAGCTCCCTCCGAGGATGCTGCCTGCACGGAGCGTGGCTGCGTGCCCCCGGGGTGGGACAGACACCCCCACCGTGGGACACCCCCGCCGTGGGACACCCCCGCCCAGCCCCGCTTACCGCCGAGTTGAAGCGGAGGTGGCAGATGTTGCAGGAGATGAACTGCTTCTTCTTGAGCGGGGCCGGCACGCCGAAGGTGTGGCTGATCACCGCCTTCTGCACCGGGTCCATCTGCAAGGGCAGGGAGGGCAGAGGGTGGCTGGGTGCCACGCCGCGACGGCCGGCACGGCACCGCACCCCTGCGCCCCCCCCCACCCCCCCTGCGCCCCCGAGGAGCCGCGGTAACGCCACGGGGCTCGTGCCCGGTGCCGGGGAGGGGCGAGCGGCTGGGGCGGCAGCGGAGCCCCCCAGACGGGGCAACGCCGCGCCGACGCCTGCTCTCGCCCTTTTTAAACCGACCCTGAAAAAGCCCCAAACCTGCAGGGTCCGAACGCCTGCTGCGGTCTGGCAGAGGGGACGAGGCCGCTGCGGGGGCACAGACTGCAGAGCCCGTCCTCCCCAGCCCCCCCGCGCTCCCCTGCCCGGCCCCCCGGCCCCTCTCCCCCCCCCGACATCGGGGTCACGGGTGGCAAATGATCAGTTTCCGTTTCAGCTCCCAGTTGCTGCCCTCGACCTCCCAGTGCCAGGGCAGCTCCTCCAGCCGCTTGGCAGGAGCCGAAACCCCCGAAAGCGTGGGCAGAGGCGATGCGACCGCGCAGCCGCCCGCCACGGCTCCACGTGCTCCTCCTCGGGCACCTGCCGCGTCCCCGGGCAAAGCCGAAGGCGCGAGCGGAGCCGCACGTGGCCACCGCTCGCCCCGGGGCCGCCGCGCAGGGGCCGGGCACCGCCGGGCCGGGGCGGAGGGTGCACGGAGCCCGCGGCACGGTGCCCGTGGGCAGTGCCCCCTCCCCGGGCCGCCCCGCTCCCGCTCCCCCAGCACTTCGCCCGCTCTGCCGGGCTGGCGCGGGGGCTGCCGCCCGGGCAGATGCGTGCGGGCTGATGACAGCTCCTGGCGCTTCTGTCTCTCCCCGGGGCTCATTCCTCAGCCCAGGCAGCAAACTTGTTCGAAAAGCCATAATTGTTTTAAACAAAATGCATTTATTAAGGGGGGGGGGGAATAAGAATAACCTCTTTGTTTGAGCGTGGCTATAATCTATAATGCAACTATTGTTCCCCTACCCTGTGGCATAGGAAGATTATCTTATCTGAGTCCTGCTGTCAGTAGAGCCTTGGGTTTTCAGGCGATCGTATTTCTCTGCAAAGCTATTTCGTTGCTGAGACAGGTGCATCAGTCTTCGAGGCACATGCCTGGACAACAGAGCCATTATCAAGACCCCAAATTCCTTTCCAGGAGTGAGCAGAATGGTAAAAGCAGGTGATTAATGAAGTGCCTGTTTGCTATGAAATTTTACTCACTTATCTGGCATATAAATGAAGAGGCATTTGGGGTTTGGCGGAGACCCGGAGGAAGCTACAGATGGCAAAGATGCTGCTCCACCCCTGACGACAAACATTGCAACGTGCTACAGGCAGCGTCCCTGCGCTGCCAGTCTGCGGGCAGAAGCGGGGCTGGCACTTGTTTTCAAGAGAAACACCCACCTTTTCCACACAAAGAAAAGAAAAACGGCTCTAACCTTCACAGCAGCATCAGCTGCCGGGGCCCGGCCGGCACCCCCGTGCTGCTGCACCCCCGGCACGGTGGCAGGAGCAGGGCTGGGGCACAGAGGGGGATGCCGAGGAAAGGGAGATGCCGGCACAAGGATCCGAAGGCGGCCGGGGACTGTGTGGGCCAGAACCTGAACCTGGTGGCGAAGCCACCGGTGCTGGGGCCACGGTTGGGCACCGGCCCCAGGGCAGCGGCGCTGAGCAGCCCCGGCAAAGGGCCCCCCCATCCTCCCAGGGCACGAGGTGATGGCACCGGCCTGGGCACCCCCCGTGCTTTCGCCAAGCCCCCCCTGCTCGGCGAGGAGCCGTGTCCATCAGAGCGGCCGCGCCAGGACCGAGCTCCCTGGGGCCACGCACCCGAAACCTGGCCCCTGGTCCTTGCGTGGCCACGGCCAGTGCTGCCGGTGACATCGCTGCTCCTGCTACCCCAAAGCCGGGGGGCTGAGCCACCCCTCGCCACGGCCGCCCTGCGCCCCGTCCAGCACGCCTGGCGAGCGCGGCGTGCTCGCTGCGTGCTCACAGTGTGCTCGTGGTGTGCTCACGGTGTGCTCACAGTGTGCTCGTGGTGTGCTCGTGGCGTGCTCGTGGTGTGCTCACAGTGTGCTCGTGGTGTGCTCGTGGCGTGCTCGTGGTGTGCTCACGGTGTGCTCGTGGTGTGCTCACAGTGTGCTCATGGCGTGCTCACGGTGTGCTCGTGGCGTGCTCGTGGTGTGCTCACGGTGTGCTCACGGTGTGCTCACGGTGTGCTTGTGGCGTGTTCGCAGTGTGCTCACGGTGTGCTCACAGTGTGCTCGTGGTGTGCTTGCTGCATGCTCGCAGTGTGCTTATGGCGTGCTCGTGGTGTGCTCGCTGCGTGCTCACGGTGTGCTCACAGTGTGCTCACGGTGTGCTCACAGTGTGCTCACAGTGTGCTCGTGGTGTGCTCGCTGCGTGCTCACGACGTGCTCACTGCGTGCTCACGACGTGCTCGCGGCGTGCTCGGCGCTTTGCTGGGAGCCCAGCCCCTCTCCACCCAGCGCTCAGCACTGAGCACACCCAAAGCTCGGATGGCACCCGAGAGCCCTCATGTTCCTCTCCACACGAAAACACCACCCCACCACCAGCTCCTCCCTGCCGCGCGCGCTCCCGGCTACCTCGGTACGAACAGGACCCCCAGCTCTCCCCGGCCGGGGGGGCCGAGCCCCCTCCTGGCAGCTTCCAGCAGGATGGACCCGACAGCAGAGGTTGGCTCTGGGCACCGCACGCTTGGAGAATAAAGATCTCGGCTTTACAGTCGATTCTGACTCACACGACTGCCTTTGTCCCTGGATGCTCCCACTGATGCGAACAGCGATCCCTGCGCTGAGCTCCCGGCTGGCCACCGCGGTCAGAAACGGGAATTCACAGGGACGCAGCATCACTTGGGATCGTGTCTCCTGCTGCAGTTTCGCAAAGCGCTGCCAGGTCCGGGGGATTTGCCCCGTCTCAGGAGCAGCAAAGGGCCTTGTGAGCATGAAACGCACCTTCTGGGCTGCGTTAGGAATTTTTTTTCCCCTGTTGTTGGTGCTTTAAGTGGCAGGAGAGCTCGGCTGGGAAAGGTTTCGCTTGTTGCAGAGTAAAACATCTGCTGGGTTCATGAGAGCCTGGTGACCTGCGCAAAGCGTTCCGCTGATCAGCTGCGAACAGCTCCTGCTCGCAGGGCACCGCCGGATCCTGCCCAGCACCACCAGCAAACCCTCGGATTTCTTTTTATAGCAACTCAGAGAGGGCAGCTCTCTCAAGAAGTAGGGTCCCTTGACTGACGCCCCCTCCCACCCTCCCCGAGGCCCCGCTGCCAGGTGGGGTGTCTGTGTCTGACCCGGCATCGCCATCACTTGGGCAGGGACCCACGGAGCTGCCAGCCCGGCGCCGGGGCGCAGCGATGCTCGAGCCCCACGTCCTGCGTGGGGGGTTCCCCGCGTGACACCGAGCCCTCGCACCCCCAGCCTCATCCCCCTCTCCGGCACAAGCGCATCCGGCAGGCGCAGCCCCCACCCCCGGACAACCAGGCCTGGCTTTGCTCAGCCAACATCACACGCTGGACTCGACTCTGAGCTCAGAGCAATTAATTCAAGGTGCAATTAATTCAAAGTGCCGGTACAGCGGGACGGCCTCCCCTGGCATCTCCATCCCTGTGTCCAACCCCCCCCCAGGGCAGAGGAGTCCCCACGGAGCGCGACGGGGCTGTGCAGCTCCAGCAAGTGCAAGAGATTCATTTTCCGATTTTTTTTTTTTTTTTTAAAGCAACACAACTCTGGAGAACACGCGCCACGGCAGGGGCATGCAGGAGCCAAGCAGAACAAACCGGGTCTGGCACAGGTTAGCTGCTGACTCCAGCGACTAAAATAAGGAGCCCAGACAAAGAGCAGCAACGTTAATGGCATCAAAAAAATCTTCCTCTCCTGTGTTTCTGCTTGTTAGCACAGGGGAGAGACAGGCTAGAGCTGGGATTTCAAAAGAGCTTAAAGGAGTTAGATGTCTGAACCCCATCCAGCACAACAGGAATCCTGCACTTAATTTCTATGGCCGCCTTTGAAGATCTCAGCGATAATTTGCACCTTCCGAGCACGTTTAATCTCAAAGCCACTTACAAAAGGCCAGCGAGCAAGTGGGGAGGGAGCTCAGGAAAGTCCCATTTCCAGGCTCACGAGAGAAAAACCCGGCATCTACCAAAGGCAGAAATGTCTGCTCTGCCTTGCTGGGGTGCTGGGGGAGCCCCCGGTCCCGCCGCCCCTCAGCAGAGCGAAGCCTGCTCCTGGCGACGCGGGGGGCCGGGCCCCAGGGGAACCCCGGGCGGCCGAAACACCGGGGGGGCAGCACCCAAAGCACGGCGAGAGAGGGGCTCCTGGGGCGGCCCCCACCCCTCCACCGGCAAGGGGCGCGGGGCCGTGCCCGGGCGGACGGAGACCCCAGCCCGGGGGCGGCGGGACGGAGCGGGGAGCACGCCACGTCCCGCCCGAGCCGCCGCCGTACTTTGGCCGCATCCAGGTCAGCTCAGAGGCAGAGCAGAACGTCTCCAGAGACGCGCCGAGCCGCGTGCCCCGGCACTTGGGCTGGGGGCTCACGGTCGGGGACCTGGAGCCCGACCGGGCAGTGGGAGAAGTCCCCCAGCGAGCAGGCTCGCCCCACACCCGCAGCCACGCAGCACCAGCCGCCTCCCTCGCATCTCTGTGCACCTTCTCTGCCATTCCTTCCCTTATTTTTCAACTAATGAACTGCTCTCCGGAGCTGCCTTATTACTATTGATTCCAGGAGCAAAATCCAGTTGATCTCAGTTAAAATGAGCCATCTTTTTAATTCTGGTATATAAGGGCAATGGCTGGGCAGGAACCGCCCTGAGCTAAGGGCGCGGGCGCGTTGCGCCAGCAGCCAGAGACCCCAGTAATTAAGGCAGAAATGCTCGGGCAGGGTTTGGGGGGTGGTGCCGTGCAGAAGAGGGACTGCGGCAGGGGAGGAGGGGTCCGGCAGCCGATGCCCACCCGCCCCCGGGGACTCACCGTGTTGAAGTTGGGGAAGAGGTTGAGCGGGGACGTCCCGTTGAGCCTGAAGGTCAGGAAGTGCTTGATGTCCAAGGGGGGATGAAGGGGACGGCCGGGGATAGGCAACGACGCTAAGAGGGGGCTGCTGTGTCCGGAGGGACCTGGGCAGGCAGAGGGGAAAGAGCAGCGTTAGCGTTGGTGGGTGGCCCCTGCTCGCGGTGGGGGGACACGGGATGTGGGGACACGGCCCACGGGGCCGTCTGCCGTGGGCTCCGGACCCTCCTCAGCGACGGGCCCCAGCCCAGGGGGGCCCCAGCACCCCTCTGCCATTCGGGCTCAAAACCAGCATCCCGGTCCAACGCCGCAGGCACGCGCAGGAGTTCGCTCTGACCCCTCCGAACGCTTCAAAACCTCCCCCGGGGAAACAGCCCCTTCCCCGGGCTCTCCCCCCGGAGCCCACGCAGCCCCGGGCTCCCCACACCGGCACCACGGGGGCTCCCCCTTACCGGGGCCGGTGTTTTTTTGGCGGCGGCAGCAGCCGAAGGAGCGCTGGGTTGGGGGCAGAGGGCTGAGCAGCCCCCGCCATGGCTCTGCAAAGGTGCCCAGTTTTGGGTGCCCCTGGGACCACCCAAGCCGCCTGTTTTGGGTGAAAACCCCCGGGGATGGGCTCCCCCCGCCCCGGCCAGGCGCTGCCGCCTGCCTTGCATCGTCCCCTGCAAACCAACCTCGAGCTCCGGTGTGTGATTTAAAAATAGCCTGGAGTTATTAATAATTTTCTGTCTAAAAAGAAAACACCCCTGGGGAGGAGGGGAGGCTGAGCGGAGGGGCTCTGCCTCCAGCCCACTCCCTGCCCTGCTCAGCAGCCCCAGGGTTTTCCACTCGGACTCATCCATCCCCCCCACCCAGGAAAGCGTCCCCCAACCCACGGAGGGCCCGGGCTGGGCTCCTGCACCCACGCACAGCTCTGAGAGCAAGGAGGGGGGAACGGTTAAAATAACCAAGTGAATGAATAATATACAATAAATAAGGAAAGGTTTCAGAACGCTGTGAGCCAGAAAAGCCCGTTCACATCTCGCAGGTTCATGCCTTCTCCCTCCTCCAGCCCACCTCGGCAGCCCTGTCCCTCCGCCTGGACCAAGGGCAAGGCCAACCTTCCTTTTTTGTAATTTTTTTTTTTTTTTCAATTTCTGGGTTTTCATCTCAAAAGCTGTCGCGGAGCCAGGCTGCCCCGGTGCAGCACCACCCCAGCTCACTGTCCCCCTGTGCCAGGAGGCCCGAGGGGGGCCGGGGGCTCCCGCAGCAGAAACACTGGCCAGGGGCTGGAAGCACGGGGGCTGCTTTGGGACAGCACCCAGGCACTCAGCCCCCGGCCCCCCCGACACCGGCTGGGCCGGACGGTGGGTGCTGCTCTCCCGGGCTCTGCCTTGCTCTTCGCTCACCACCCGACCCTCCGCTGGCAGCAACCAGGCTGGTGCGGGAGCCGAGATACAAATCTGAACCTCCAAATTGGAAAGATTTCCTGAATTTGAGCAGCGAGCGCTCGCCGCGCGGGCCCTGCGGGCAGCAACGACCTCTTTCTGGGAGAGCGCACACGGGCAGCTCTTCAGCGGCACCGGAGCCGTCCCGGAGTCCGGCCTGACTCCAGGGAAAAATTACAGTTTGCTTCATCAGGCGTGCATTGATCGAGTTAATTCCAGAGTCGCCCAGAAGGGAAATCTGCGAAACTGCTTAAAAATAAATAAATAAAAACATAGCAACAGCGATGAGGGAGGGAGCAAGAGCAAGCAGAGATGGGTGAACAATGCATAATTAACCTTCTGAGGCGTGAAGCAGTACTTCTGCATCAAATCATCTGATATGGCAGGGTCAGCACCCGGGGAGCCGGCCCCCAGAGACCCCCCCCAGCCCCCACATGCAGCTGCGGAGCAGCGGCCGCAACAAAGGCGTCTGGGGCTGGATTGCAAGGGCTCCCACTTGCCTTTGTCAGTGCGGTTTGCACTGACTGCACCGGCCTTAAAAAAAAAAAAAAAGAAAAAAAAAAATTATATTTACCACTGGGAGGAACAAGAGAGGGGGGCGAATGCCTCTGCCCCCACCATCGGTAACGGAACAAAGGGAGTTTGTGGCTCAGGAGCTGCTGCTGCTGCCTGGCCCCGCGGCCCAGGGGTTTCCTTCCCGGGGGGCAGTTCCCACGCCGGGCCCTGGGGTGCCAGGGGGGACACGGGCCCCCCGGGGTTGGTCACCGACACAATAAGGATGCGATACGCCAAGCCACTTTGGCACGTCCTTGAGCCCAAATTTGTGGATTTAACACCTTTCTGGGCTGGGTCTGCAGCCCAGGGGTAAACCAGGCTGTTAGGAGAGAGCCCAGAAACCCCAAGCGAGACAGGACCCCCGAGCGGGCAGGACCTGTCCCGCCCGGTTCTGCCAGCGGAGCAGACAAGATCCCCAGGCGCAGGAAAAGGGCTGAAAGCCTCCAAGAGCCGCGAGCAGCCGGCGGAAGGAGGAAAGCCAGGGGACGAGCTGCCGCCGGCGCGGCCACCGCGCACGGGGACAAGGCCACCCCCAGCTTCGGTTCCCCCCAACCTCAGACGGACACCCAAGCGGGAGCAGCGGGCGCAGGGAGAGGGCAGGCGAGCGGCGCAGCCCCAGCACCCTGCCTGGGCACCCAGCACCCTGCCTGGGCACCCAGCACCCCCCTCGCACCCCGGGGGCACCTTCCCGAGGTACCGGGGCCGCAGCAGCTCCTGCCTTACCTTCGCCGCAGGGCACATCCCGGCAGCAGCTGCAGGCTGTGCTTTTAGGTATTAATTAGACACCCAGCCAAGGGGGTTCGCTCTGGGGCGCGCGGCAGGGCCCCCGGGGTCTGTAGAGAACGGACACGACCTCCCCCGGGGTGAGGGGCACGGCTGCTGGCAGGGTGGGCTTTGCTGGTGAATGGTGGCCCCGGATGCTCGGTGTGCAGGTCGGGAGCGGGGCCGTCCTCTGCCGCGGCGCCGTCTTCGTGTGTCCCCCCCTCCCGTGTCGGCAGAGGAGCCCCCACCTCCGCCGCAATCGCGCTGCTCCGGCACTGCGGGTGCTGCCGGGCCGGGCCGCGCTCGGGGCTCCGCGGAGCATCGCGAAAGGCTGGTGCAAGGAGGGGAGTGCGGGAGCCCTCGGCACAATGACCTGGTGCAGCGGGGGGGGGGGGGTCCCTTCGCCCCCCCCCGGCCCTGCGGGGAGGGTGCACGGCCGTTCTCTTAACTGAGCATCCAGCCCTGACCGAACGACGCCAAAGCTCGCAGTGTCACCGCGCACCCTCTGCCTGGGGCTCAGCCCCTTCCCAGCCCCCCGAGGCTCAGCCCAGCTCCTGTCCCGCGACTCTCGGCGGGGTCCCCTGGAATTTAAAGACGTGTTTCAGTCCCCCGTTTAACCGAGCCCACCCAGGGCCGTGCCCAGCTGCCATCCCCTGCCTGACCCCAGCACCTCTTTGCTCCGTGCCGCGCACCACGCGACCGCAGTGGGTTTCCTCCCAGGCCCCCCGCAAGGCAGCTCACAGCAACTGCTGTGCTCTAACGCGACGTACGTGTGAACCTCCAAGAAACACCTTTGAGAGCGGCAGGGACAACGCTGAGGGTTTTCATACCGACACGAGGAGCTGCCAAGGACCCGTCTCCGCAGCCGCCGGCTGCCTCGCAAGAGCATCTGGCGCAGAGTCTGCACAGGACAGATGGAGACGGGAGCTGTTTATTCACACAGAAGCAGTCTGGCTCCCTCCCGTTTGGTAGGTGTTCTCAGCAAATTTTGGTGGCGTCTCAAATTCCTTAGAGCGGCTTTAAAGCTTTTGCCTCTGGCCAAGCATCAGCCGAATTCACTCCAGCTCTTTCTGGGAGCGTCTCTGGGGAAGCACGTGTGTGCTCCCCGCTGGCAAAGTGGGGAGGCAAGGCGCGACACCCGCTCGCAGGGCTGGACCACGAGGGCAGCACCGGGGCGGCCCCAGCGCTGCTCGGGGACCAGGAACGGGCAGGTCGCACCGTGCGGGATGCCCAGAGCAGCCGGACCCAGCCAGCCCCAGCCGGCCCGCAGCGTGGCAGATCCGGCGATGCCGCGGCTGCCCCGGCCCGGTGGGCTTGCCCCAGGTCCCCGCAGCAGGACCAGCCGTGCCCGAGCGCAGCCCCCCGCCCCCAGTCCCCCCAGGGCCCCCCCTGCGCGGGGGCTGCAGGGCGGCTCTGCGCAATGCGCACCGCTCCCCAGCCCCGCAGCGGACGGGGCCCGGTCTGAGCTCCACCCCGCTAAATCCCCCCATTTCCAGCTCCCGGCAGCCGGAGCCGCCGAATCCACACGCAGCCTGGACAGAACGCAGCCGGCCCCCCACGCCCGGGACGAGGCCACGCCGAGCACCGTGACCGCGGGCCGGGGGATGGCTGCGAGGGAGCAGCCTTCACCCAGACACGCTCGCCCCCAAACCAGCGTCCCCCCAGTTCCGAATCAGCTGGAAGGACGCGGACTCTGGGCCATCAGCCATCGCCTGCCGCCAGCCCCCAGGACAGAAATCCGGCTTTCCCTGCCCCCGCTGCAAGCACCCCCCGAAACACCCCACCCACGCACCCGACCCGGGGGGCTGGGGGCCGTCCTGCTGGGTGGGACGAGCAGCAAATCACCCCTCAGAGCAATGGGGGGACACCAGCAGGGCTGTGACCCCCCCAGCCACCCACCAGAGCCGGAGGGGCTCCACGAGCCAGGGCTGGGGTGGAGGGGGGGGCCCCTCTGCCAGGGGCAGGGAGGAGGGGGGCAGCGAGCCCCGGCCCCCCCAGCCTTTCCATGTTGCTGCAGTACAAGTCCCAGCCAGAGGCGACCGCAGAGGGGACTGTCAGCGTTACAGACACGGGGGTCACATCCTGCCGGACACGGACCCTGCACCTGCGGGACAGCACCAACTTACCCGGGAGGGAGCGGAGCCGCATCCCGCGGCAGGACCCGGCGCTCAGCGTTAAACCCACGGGCTGCTCCGTGGGCTTTTCTGCAAATTAAAGCCAGTCAGAAGGGTCTTCTCAGCCCCCGCCAGAACTGAAGAAAACATCCCTCCGAGTGAGAGCCGGGCCGTGCAGCACCCTGCCCCGCTCGGCCACCGCACCCGCACGCCCCGCGCCCCGCCACTCCGCTCGCTCCGGGGTAAAGGGGG